TATATGCAGCTACATACTTGTATGTATAAACTATATGTATCTCAAAGACAGACAGCAAGACGGACTGCAAAGCTCTCTCGCTGTATAATTTCCGCATTCAGTTGCAGATAAATAAATAATTGAGTCAAATTGAAATGCAACTCGCCAAACAATTTCAGCCACGCACTTCGTCACAAGCAAATAAACTCAGTGTGGTACTGGAGGTGGAGGCGGTGGATGGAGGGGAGCGGGTGGAACAGGCTGATGGTGGTCAGTGATTTATGATCAGGGGTCACAGCGAGGCGACTAGGACAGTAACAGTAAACAAGCAAAGTGGCTGCCTTATGAGTAAACAATTCTGCCGCACACACGCCCACACGCCCGACATCGACAACGACACGGACACGGACTCGCAGCCAAAACCCCAAGCCAGAGCCAAACAAATGAAGTATCAAAGGCAGGCACCAGCACCAGCCCCAGCAACTGCAATAACAACAAACAAGAGACTTTCAATTCCAATTTGAAATGATGCTGAACGTCAAAGACTGCCGTTGAAGGCATTCTATTCTAGCCCCACACCCAATACTTCCCCTCCATCTCCAACAACTACTTGAGCGCAGACGAGACGCAAAGTCGCTGCTAATTGTCGGCATTGGCGGCGTACTCGAAGGGCCAAAGAACCATTCCGATGCATCAGTCAGTCAGTCAGATATGTATGTATGTACATGTGTATAAAATTTCCATATAAAAATGCGCTCGAAATTATTTTATTTTCATATTTAGAGACAAGCAAACAGACAGCCACCCACAAACAGTGATGCAATTGTGACTTAAGCAAAAAATGCAGCGTTAAATAAATTTCTGGATCTGTTTCCATTAGTTGTGAGTTCTAATAGCTCGGTTAACTGAACTAAAAGCTTAAGCAAAAGGTTCAGCATTTCTTGTCGTGTGTGTCAAGACAACTCTAATATAACTCGAATAACAAAAAAGAATTGCTCAGCTCTTAAATACCCTGTACCATCCCACAAAAAAAAATGATTAAAAAAATAAAATTAATTTAATTAATTAATTAAATTAAATATAAAATATTCCATACATACATTTACATTTACATCAGAATACTGTCTATGCGTGTTTGTGTACTTGTACATATGTATGTACATATGTGTGCATTACATAATTATGTCAAAGCAACAACAAATACAGCTTGGGCCTGGTTATATGGCAATAACTTCTTCTTCTTTCTAATCACTAACTGGATGTGACTACCAAATTTTAGCAAGTTTGGCTATTCTAGCTCTTATACTTTCTGAGATCCTTGCGTTCCTACAGACAGACAGACGGACTTGGCTATATCGACTCGGCTTGTCATCCTGATCAAGAATATATACACTTTGTGGGGTCTGCCACGCCTCCTTCTGTGTGTTCCATGTACACTCGCACAAAACTAATATACTCTTTTACCCTTTGGGTACAGGATATAATAAGTTATTTGACTTAGGAGCAGTCTTTTGGAATCACAGAACGTACACGCATCGATTAAGTGGCATGCACAAATAACATTTCCGTAATTTTTCGTACCTAGTACATCAAACTATCACACTGTGCGGTGGCTACGGTGGCTGCGGCAGCAGCGTCGGGAAACAGCAGCCCATGTGCTGATAAAGGCCATTTATCAAAATTCATTCATAGAAAGGCAACAGACAGCGCTCTGAGTGCAGCATGTGCCGCTGTGTGTGTAAGTGTGTGTGTGTGCGTGTGTGTGCCTGTCTAGCTCGCACACTTGTTGCGCCAACAGTTTTGAATGCTCTTTGCCGGCTGGCGCTCTTTAATGTTGTAGTGCTCTTAATTGCGAGTGAGTGCAAGTGAGAGCGCATGCCAAAAAATTGAACATGTGTTGGATAAATGTACCGTTTTAAACGAAAGACACTGCTACAGTTTTAATAGCACTGCTTAAAAGAAGCAATAGCTTAGGCATTTGTTTATATTTGCCAGCTTTCTGCGCCCTTCCTACTAACCAACTGCTGTTTAGAAATGTTAGACTAAGCCATAAATCTGGTTTGCTACTAGTTTTAAACGCGTTTTGCGGTTACGCACATAAAGTAAACCACAAAACGCAAAAGTACACACAACTCTAACTCTCACTCGCCTGCCAACCCAACCCAGCAGGCTGCCAGACAAACAGAGTAAACCGTTTCACATGCTGACTGGCAGGCTGGCTGGCAGGCAGGCAGGCAGGCAGGCATTGGCATTGACCACGTAACCGAGTGCGAAAAAAAAGTTAAGTGTCATGTTACGCTCACTGAATGTGGCGCACTTTGAAGTTGCCAAACGAGCTGGCGGCTTTGATTATGATGCCAAACACGTGATTTGGGAGTTAAAAGGGCTCGAAGAATGAAGAGCGTAGAGCGTAGAGCGCAGAACCCTTTCCCCATTTGACGGAAAAGTGCACGCGAAGCCCTGGAAGTGGCGTGAACAGGCTACAGCGTGTGTTTTTATTTCTATTTTATTTTCAAATTACAATTATGTGATGTCAGCCAAAAGTCATGCCCAGCCTGATAGCCTCTGCCTGGCGACATTTCGAATTCTATTTCGATTTCCAGCGCGGCTGGCGCTTACTCAAATCATCCACAAAGTGTCACACAATCAGTAACAACTAAACGACAGCTTCAGCTTCAGCGCCAGCGGCAGGCGCTTGCTATCAACCGTTCAATGCCGCCAACATAGCAATAAACCTAATTAAATTTGTATATTTTTCAGCACAGCTCGCCGCGCACCCAAATTGATAAGCCTGAGCATTTTGATTAATGAAATCAAAAAGGAAGCGGCCACACACAAAAGCACACTCCCATGTGTGTGTGCTACAATTTTAAAAATGACGAAATGCTACGCTAATAGCGGCTCGAGGGATTGAACATACGCGGCCATTTCGCAAACAGTTCGAGCCACTTTGATTTTCAAATCAAAGTGCGCATAAAAGTTTATCAACGTCACGACAAATTCCACATACATAGAATAACTTACAGCTAATTCTGTCATAGACTCTTAAGTTTCTTATCAGCTTAATAAGCTTGTGCAACTTACAATAGTTTTATTTATATTATTAATTGTGTACAACCATTTCCTACACGTGTAGAGGGCTGGCAAGGCCTACAACTTTTTATAGCATAGTTCTAGGGGTCGGCTTTTCGCGATTTGTGGTAAATGCTTGTAAGTGTCAATTTTTTGCTGTATTTTGAAAGAAAGACACTTATATGTGATTTATAAAAAGAATACACTGACATTTTAAGTTGCTTGCTACGAAAATTTGCTGTTTGATTGTGCAATCAAGAGTATGTAATAAATAAAAATAACTGAATATACATGTCATAGTAGTTTGAGTATTTCAAAATACTGCTGCACAGAAAATGTAGATGCGGGAAACTAATGATTTCTGAAATACTATACATTTTGATTATAATATAGAGCTGCAAAATGAACCGTATGAAGGCAAATACATTCTTGAACTAGCACATCATTACTTGAAAGTGAAGCTGATGATCTCATGACAATATAATTAGATTTTGTTCAGCTAACGATTAATTGGTTTTATTTTTGAGTACATCGAAAAATAATAGAAAAAGATTGATACATTCTACATTGACTATTTTGTAGCTCTATTATAATATAAATTAGATCAGCTGTATACAAAAAAGTAAGCAGATGCTAGTTTTCCACATAAATAGAATTGCTCATAATGACACAGCAAAAAAGAACGATTGAAATAGAAGCTGTAAGAAAATATTTATCTTAAGATACAGATATTTATAAAATGCATTTTATTATTTAGTCCGCAGTTGAAAGTTTTGCTCAGACTAACTAATAAAGAATAGTTTATAAACATTAAATTCAAATATTACTTTAAATTGAAATAATTCTTAAAATATTTAGTTTAGCGATTTAAAAAGTAATTAATGTGGTTGTGGAGAAAACAATTCAGTTTCTTTAAAGTGGCCAAATAAAGAAAAATGACTGTCTGTGCTCATAACGTCATTGTTTCACAGACTGCGGCTGATCGACCTGAATAGTTTCAATTCCTTTCCAGGCCACTTTTCAATTGAACAAGTGATTCTGATTTATGATGGACGTTTCATTAACTTGAAATTGTTAGTTCTGACATCTATTATGTATTGTCTATTAGAATAAATGCTCACACTCTTTTGCATTGGCAACGCGTTTTCATATCAATTGCCAACCGGAAATAATCAATGACAATTATGTATTCAAATACAATACATTATTTTAGTCTATGCTGAAGGCAGAAGGTTATCAAGCTAGCCTTTGCCTTCTCTTTTCTGCTGATTGCCAAAAATATACACTACTCGATGACATAATCTCACTTCACATTTATTTACTCTTGGAGCATACAAAATTTATTGAACCCTGAAAATTGTTTAAAAAAAAACCAGGCACATGACTGAGGAGTTATTCTGAGAACAATAATAATGAACTGCATTGCTGTATGGAAGCCGGAAATGTAATAAGCAACATGCATGAATCAAAACAATATATAATGTGTGCCCCTTTCTGCTGATTAGTCTCAAAGCTGACCTAATTTCATTTCCATATGCAGATAAATGCACTTTCAAGTGAAATGTTATGACAAGTCCTACAGAAAGGCATTTATGAATGAAGACTTGAATTTTGCAGTATAGTTTTGGAACCATAACAGATTTAAAAGCACTGGACTAACATAAAAATTTACGCATTTTCAAATAAAATGTTATTACAAATCCAGTTCAACGGACAAAAACAATATCAATGGTAGATTTAATTTTGCATTACAGTTTGGGAGACATACCAGTTTGAGCATCACTGAGCTAACTTCAAAATGTATGCACTTTAAGCGAGAAATTCTTATAGGATAACTTTTTCAATGGGAGATTGAATTTTCCTTTACAGTTTGGGAAGCACTGGCATATTAAATAACTGAACTTTTGGATAATATAGATATGCATGTGTAAAGCCGATGGGCTGCTTACCTTTGCCTCCGTCATGGAGAGGACGCACGCGATCAGCAAGAACGCGCTCCATACTGCTGGACCCGAGAGACCCGTGCGGCCTCTGGGCAACTTCATGGTCTTCAAGCGGACCAAAACTCTCGAATTTAAAATGTCACTAAAGCCACACTCAACACTCAACACACGAAACTGCGAAAATAAGCATGGAAAATTGTTGTTTGTTAGGAGCCTGTCTAAGAAACGATGTCACACAACAATGGCAGCAACAACAACCACAACACCACAAGGCACTAGTCTAGGTCTAGTCCTCTCAAATACAATACAAAATATCTGTATCTTCTTCTTTTAAAAGAGTTGTCACATTTCAAATTATAATTAATATCAAGAAAATTCGCCTTTGGCGAATCTGTGAATTGAAACAACTGAAAACTAACACAAAACGCTCCGTCGATCGATGGTCGATTCGCTGATCGCTGATCTGCGTAGAGGCAGACGATTAAGAGTGCTACTGGGTTTGCGGTGCTGCTGCTGCGATCGTCGAGCACACACCCCACATGTGGAGATCGTCAAACGTTCGAAGTGTTACTAAACCCGAGTCGCGCAAAGAAATTCAAATTCGTTGCGAGTTGGGGCCGATCGTGTCGGCCGCCACACACACCACCACAACGACTCACGCACACAAGCAAGCCCAGCGATCGGGGGCTGCACTGGTGTGTATGAGGACCGGCGCGGCAACGGCGCGTTTGTTTCATTGGCGTTGGCTCGGTAGCTGGCTGGCTGGCTGGCTGGCTGGCTGGCTGGCTGGCTGGCCGACTGGGCTTTGAATTTAGCACTTTGTTGCCTTGAAATGAGGAAACGGCGTTTCTTTCTGGGTTGGCTTGGGTTCCATTTAGTATGTGGCTGAGAAACGGGCAACGGCAACGGCAACGGCAACATCATTTTTCAGCTTTATTTTCATAATTTGAAATTCATTTGCTTGTTTTTGTCGCCCGTTCGAGTGATTAGGTTAAGGCTTTTTATTTAGTATTTACTTGGGAGCTGATAAGACGGACATAAGTAGCTGGTATTTCCTGTTACTGTTAGAAGAACAACCAATGGAGCACAAAAAATGCTGCGCATTGCTTTCAGTACAAAAAATCATGTTATACGCAGATTTATAAATAGAACTCTTTTAATGAAACTGTAAAGCAATTCGGAAAGCAACACATCGTTTTGGGTCAACATTTCGAAACTATAATCAAGGCTTCGGGCAAGAATTACACAAAAATTGGATTTCTAGCGCACTGAGCTGAGATTTTTAAGCCGATATTGATACACACAGAATAATATGCAAGTAAAAATATTGTCAATTGTTAGGTAGTCCCTTTATTACTATATATAAAATAGACTGATTTAAGTTTACAAATTTCTATTTTCAACATATAAATATGTTCTTCTAAACTTTCATAAAACCCTTTTTTTAACAAGAACTCTGTTCACCATCAAACAATTTAAAACAAAATTCTACATTTAAAATAATGGCATCAAATACTTAACTATCTACAAAATGGGACATATTGTTAAATTTTTTCAAAATATTAGACCGATTTAAGCCTACAAATTCTTGTTTTCAAACTTGCCATTTAAGTTCCTATGCTCGTCAAAGTCTTGAATTATCTTAATAATATCTTATAAACTCCTATATAATTATATCTTAACAATAGATTTACATGTTTTAGTTCCGATTTTTTTCTGAGTGTACATTTGAGTGGAAAAGGAAACACACACAGTGTGTGTAACATGACCTGATAGCCTCAATAGGTTGGTTGGAATGTGTTGGAACTTAAATAGCAACAATGGTCATACAAAAAGAGGAAGCGGAAGAAACTCAGTTTTTTAATTGTTCTATTATAACCTGTGATATCATACTTTGAGTTAGAGGGGACAAACAAACTAAGCATCTAATTTAATGTTTACTATTTTATTGTTGAAAAAAAAATAAGTAAGTTTAATGTCAAAATTTTTTATAAAAGCAAATAGATCAACAATCAGGTATAATGTTATAAAAGATAAAATTAAATAAATCTAAAATAAAAAGGAGCATTTATTTAAATACTTAAAAATTAAATCAATTAGTTTGTAAATATTTTAAAAGTTGAACACATATAAATATTGCAATAAAATTTTAAAATTTATTTACTTTTTTGTGAAAAATGTCAAAAATGTCAACTCCCTGATCAAACACAACTTTAATGCGTTTTCAAAGTATTAAATTAAAAGCCATATAAATTCTATACTAAAATATTGTTTGCCAGTGGTCAGACACGCAAATAATTCATACAGAAATATGTCGAAAAAGTAAATTCCAAAGCTGCGGAAGAGAAATATATTTTATGTTTTTCACTCCATTCTGCAGCACTGCTTAGGAAATGCTGCATAAATGAAAAACCAAAGAAATCAGATTGGGAGAAAGGTCGAAGAGGTCGCAAAACCAATACAGTACAAGTACAATATTCTCTCATAGGATCACCTTGACTTCTGGCACAAGAACAAACACAGACACAGTCACGGAACAAGACACAGACACGCGGTCATTTCATAAAGCTGCGCCTGTAGTGTCCGAATTGGCACAATAGACTTCTATCGGAACGGCAATGACGGCAACGTGAACGGCAACGGAACTTATGTGCCCAATCTTTGTGAGTGCTATCAGCTCTAAGAGTGTGAGAGTGTGTGCGAGTGTGTGTGGAAGGTGCTGGCCGTATCCAGCAGTCGACCAAGCCAAGCCAAGCCAAGCCGAGCCGAGCCAAGCTGCGATTAATGTTGAGCAAGCTCGCATATCGCCACCATAATAATATTAAGAACAACAAGTCGCTACTTATCGCCATGTTTCATTCATTCCACTTAGTCTGAGTCGCAATGTTAGCTAAGTATTTGTTTTAGTGTCATCGAATGGCCCTTCCTGCGTCTCGTCATCCACCATGGTCGCCATTTCCCCCCAGTTACACAGACACAGCCACACAGCTCACATATATGACATATATAGTGTACGTGTGGGCTGCCGAACACAGATCGGTGGCTCGCCGTTTTGCCGATCGTGTGGCATTAGCGGTGCGCTGTGTTCGCTGGAATTTATAGTATAATTAGTCGTATTCCGTCTTCTCGAGTAAGTAGTCTGGCCGCTGGCAGCGCTTCACTCTTGGATTGCCTTTAGTCTTGAGTACGTCGGCTGGCCGAACGCTTGTGTATAGTTCGTGTGCTCGCTGCGCAGCGAGTCGGTTTTGTTCAGTACGCTCCAGTCGGTTCAGAAAGTTAGATCGGTTTTCTGAAAGGAAAACGGCAGAAACCTTCGAATAGTCCGACAAGCCAAAAGAAAAAGCCCGTCGCTTGGCATAAAAGTGAATTTATTTTGCATAAAATTTATAAACTAATACCAATTTATCAGAAAACTAAATTTTTAAATAATTTTTGTAATACCAAATTTATATAACCACTAAAATATGTGACTTTTTCAAAGCATACGATTTGCACGTACAGACAGTGACTCTAAAACTGTAACACAAGTACTAAACGAAAATTTCAAAACGTGCTTTCAAATTTAGTGCTGAACTTAACGGTTTTCGGACATTAAAATATTAAAACTATTGAGCATTTTGTAATATTGAAACAAAATTACTATTCTTTAAAATATAGCAGCGTGAAAAATAAAAAACCAAAAATTAAGTGCCTACTTTTCTGCCTCAACTTTTTAGGGCCACGACGCATACAATTTGCTAATTCGAATAGGGAGGAATTTATAATTGAAGAGTTCAGTGCATAGGGCATAATGTTGCCCCAATGGAAGCGGTAAGTTGAACGGACTTATGGATAAATTTTAAAATTCTAATGACAGTTAAATGAAGTGTGTTCATTTCTAATTTAAATTCATTTAAATGGCTCATAAAAATCAAAATTAATTTGTATATATAAATTTATAAAATTAAAAATTATGGTTAAATTTATAAATTATTATAAATATTATTATACATTTGAAATGATAACATTTTGACATGAATTGAAAATTCGTTAAGTATTTCGATTCCCCAAAAACTAAGAGCACAATCACATTTTAGGCTCTTTAACAAAAACTGCTCTCTTTAGTTTTTGAAGCATAAGTATATACATATACATAAGTAGCGTGATCTCTCTTACTCGCCTCGTGAGCATAGAATATGATGGTATTGTATTGGTGTGCACAGTATTTATCAAATAATAGAAGCGACCCCACAAACACACACAAATGTACATACTAAGATTTATATATGTTTATATATGTAATGAATATGTTATATATGTAAATATAATATAATTTATATACAAATGTAAAGCATTTGCTTGAACTCGTGTCATTATTCGATTTTTGCAGGCTGCTGTTCGCCGCTGTAATCTATGGAGTGCTCGCTAATGTGAACGCTGTAAATATTCCTTAAATGCGATTGGTAGTTTTGTGGACACACTTAAAGCATTTTAATTATTGCAGCAATTTTGGAAAGAAGCTGGCACCCGTGGATCCATACAGGATTCAATCAGATACAACACAAGGGACGAACCAAGGGAGCCCTTGCCGATAGACCCTAGTTATGAAATCATAGAAAATCCGCGCGGAGGGCCGCCGAACAGAAACTGCACAGCTGGCTATGCAGGCTGTGTACCAAAATGTATTGCCGAAAAGGGTAACCGTGGCCAACCTGGTCCCGCTGGTCCACCAGGACCTGCCGGTATGATTGGCTATCAAGGTGTGGAAGGTCCTCCCGGCGATAAGGGTCAGAAGGGTGATCCAGGTCCATTCGGATTGCGCGGTGACAAGGGGGAGCGCGGAACACAGGGCAAGCCCGGATTACCTGGTGTTGCTGGCGTGCAGGGACCTGCAGGAAACTCAGGCTCCCCAGGTCGCCCTGGCAAAGATGGCTGTGATGGTTCAGATGGTATGCCTGGTCTGCAAGGCCTTGGCGGAATGCCAGGCCCTCGTGGTTACCCCGGTACCATTGGTGCAAAGGGCGAAAAGGGTGAACCAGCTAAAGATAACATTGACTACGCCAAGGGTGAGAAAGGTGAGCCCGGCTTTACTGGTAGGGCAGGATACCCCGGTGCTGAGGGCCCACAAGGTCCTAAAGGTGATCGCGGTGACACTGGTCCTTATGGTTCACCTGGTCCACGAGGTGATCGTGGTATCAAAGGTGAGAAGGGAGCTTCATGTTTTGGAACCCCCTTGCCCGGCAAGAAAGGTGACAAAGGTGATAAAGGAGAACCAGCTATCCAAGTACCATGGACGGGAACGCCCTCTTACGCTGGAGAGAAGGGAAGCCAAGGCCAGAAAGGTGATATGGGTCCACCCGGAGAGAAGGGCGGTATAGGACAAGCTGGTGAGCCTGGACATGATGGACAAAAGGGCGAAAAAGGTCTGCCAGGCGGCGCAGGCGATAGAGTAAATGCCTATAATTACAAGGTTTTTGAGTTATGATTACCGAACGTATTGTTTCCCAGGGTCGCCAAGGTAACTTTGGACCACCAGGACCATCTGGACAAAAGGGTGATCGAGGAGAAACTGGTCTGAATGGTCTGGCCGGCCAACCAGGCCTCAAAGGTGAGCCAGGTCGACCCGGTCAACCAGGAGAGCCTGGATTAGTTGGACCTGCAGGACCCCCCGGTGGTGGTAGTGGACAGCCTGGTCTTCCAGGATCGAAAGGACCCCGTGGATACCCTGGACAACCTGGCCCCAAAGGTTTGGATGGACTTAATGGACAGCCAGGACCTCAAGGATACCCTGGTAATAAGGGTGGCCCTGGTCTGCCAGGACGTCCTGGTGGTGAAGGTCCTCCTGGACCAAAGGGCGAGAAGGGTAACGCAGGACGCGATGGATCTCCAGGTCCCCAAGGACCAGTAGGTTATAACGGACCTCCAGGACCCGAAGGAGAAAAGGGCGATGCTGGAACGCCAGCTTACGGCATTCAAGGTCCAAAGGGTGATAGCGGAATCAATGGGTAAGTCTTTGTGTTACGTATTATTTTGGCCAAAAATTATCTTTTTTTTTCTTTCATAAAAATACATATATACAAGTACAATTCAGCTTCCAAATTAGTCAGTTGGTAGTAATGGGAAAAAGTAATCTGGACACAATACACTTTTATAAATTTTTAAATACCCTATTTACAAAATATGTTAGAGTTGTTATGGGTGCCACATTTTTAAAACAAACATACTCATTGCATTAATTTTTTGTAGATACCCTGGTCAGAAGGGTATGAAGGGCGAGCGTGGTTTCAAGGGAAATGCAGGCGTACCTGGCGATTCAAAATTGGGCAGACCTGGTATTCCTGGCACAGTAGGTGCCCCTGGCCAAAAGGGTGATGCCGGCCGTCCTGGTAATCCTGGCCAAAAAGGTGATCTTGGAGCCAAGGGTGATGCTGGTGGTAAATGTTCTTTGTGCCCACCTGGTGCTAGAGGAGAGAAAGGCGACCGCGGATTGAACGGAATTCCTGGAAACCCGGGAGAACGGGGACCTCCTGGTGAGCGCGGCTATCGTGGAGAACGTGGTGATGACGGCATTGTTGGACAAACTGGTCCTAATGGAGAGAAAGGTCTAGACGGCCTTCCTGGTGCGCCTGGACCTCAAGGTCAACCTGGTAAGCCAGCAATTCTGAACCTAAGCTTGATCGAGGTCGCAAAAGGAGAAAAGGGTCAGCCTGGCTATCCTGGTGCCGCTGGTGTCAAAGGAGAACGCGGAGATGCTGGCATACCCGGCAGCCCCGGATTGAAGGGCGAAATTGGAATCAAGGGAGACAAAGGCTTCGCCGGCCAACCTGGCATTGACGGTGCACCCGGAGCACCTGGACGTGAAGGTCGTGATGGAACTCCCGGTGTAAGTATTAAGGGCGAACCTGGTCGTCCAGGCTTCGACGGAATCAAGGGAGACAAGGGTCAGTCTGGATATAACGGCCCAAAGGGTGAACCAGGAACATGTGAGGCTAGTGAGCTCAGAGTGCCAGCCAAAGGAAACAAGGGCGACAAGGGTTCAACCGGAATGCAAGGCCAAAACGGCCCCGTCGGACAAAAGGGAGAAATTGGTGTATCTGGACAAAAAGGAAACACAGGACCGCAGGGACCATCAGGACCTGTGGGACCTCGTGGTCTAACTGGTCCCCGAGGTGAAAAGGGTAATCCCGGTCCATTTGGCGCACCCGGTAATCCTGGAAAAGATGGTCTTCGAGGTCTTCCTGGTTTAAAAGGTGACCGTGGGCAAAAGGGTGAACATGGAATAACTGTTGCTGGACCCCCCGGTCTCCCGGGACAGGATGGATTAATCGGCGAAAAAGGAGATCGTGGACTGCCTGGAGCTTATGGACCACCAGGTCCGGATGGCAACCCTGGTTATCCCGGAGACAAAGGTGATGCAGGACTTCCAGGCCCACCTGGTAATACAGGTGCTTTAGGCCCGAAAGGTGACACTGGACCAATTGGTCCACAAGGCCAGGCTGGTCCCCCAGGCAGACCTGGTATTGATGGTGTTCGAGGACGTAATGGCGCTAAAGGTGAGCCTGGTAACCCTGGCCTTGTCGGCATGCCCGGTAGTAAGGGTGACATAGGAGCTCCAGGAAATGATGGTCCTAAAGGATTTACTGGAATTGCCGGTGCCCCTGGAAAACGTGGCCCAGCCGGTATTCCTGGATTCCATGGTAAGCAGTAATACAACAGTAAAAAAAATACAAAAAGTACTTTTTTTAGCACCTCTTATATTGTTTGTGTATAACCCGAAACAAAAAAAAATTATAATTTTAGGATTAAAGGGAGATAAGGGAGCTACTGGATTAACTGGCCTCGAAGGACCACCTGGTGCAAGAGGACCCCAAGGACCTCCCGGATTTATGGGAATTAAGGGTGACACTGGACCGATTGGTCGTCCAGGAGCAGATGGTGTCCCCGGATTGGATGGTGAGAAAGGTAACCAAGGCCTTCCTGGCTTAGATGGCCCACAAGGTGAACCTGGAGATGCGTCCGAAAAGGGACAAAAGGGCGAACCCGGCCTTTCTGGATTGCGTGGTCAAGATGGTATTCCTGGAGCTCCAGGTCTACAGGGTGACAAGGGCTTGCCAGGTATTGCTGTGCATGGACGCCCAGGTGCTCCTGGTGAAAAGGGTGATCAAGGACGTGATGGTGAAGCTGGGCGCGATGGCTTGCCCGGCGAAAAGGGCAATGCCGGATATCCTGGTCAGCCCGGACTTAAGGGTGACAAGGGTGCTGGTGGTGTTCCCGGAGCACCTGGCTTGCCTGGAATGGATGGTTTGCCTGGTCAAGTTGGCGCCCCAGGTCCAGTAGGATTCACCGGAGAAAAGGGCCTTAAAGGTGACCGAGGACTACCTGGATACAACGGTGCAAAGGGTGACAAGGGCGCTACTGGATATCCCGGTCTTAACGGATTGCCTGGAATTAAGGGCGATCGTGGCGCACCTGGTCGTCGCGGTGCAGATGCAGTTCCCATCCAAATTCGAGGTGATAAGGGTGACAGTGGAGATATAGGTCTTGTTGGTCTTCCTGGTGTTACTGGTGAAAAGGGTGACGCTGGCGTGCCTGGCTATCCTGGACCAAAAGGAGAACGTGGAGTGCAAGGACCACCTGGCCCTCAAGGCTTGAATGGACTTCCCGGTTTGAAGGGCGACATGGGAATACAAGGAGATGCTGGCTATCCGGGCCTTCTTATCAAGGGAGAAAAGGGTCTACCAGGACGCTCCGGCAAGAATGGCCGCGAAGGTACAGTATTAATTTCTTAATAATTATCTATCTGCCCAAATGTGAAGCTATATTCTGAATGGGTATATGATTTCTAGCACAGCTTTCACGTTTTCAAACTAATATTTACGCAATAATAACTTTCAATTTAATTTTACCACTTTCGACTGGTTTAGCATATTAATATGAAGTTCGTATTATTAGGTGCCCCTGGATTACCTGGCTTGAAGGGTGAACGCGGATTACCTGGCTTGCCAGGAACAGTCGGTTTGATTGGTTTGCCTGGACCCGAAGGTCCAGCTGGTGCTAAGGGTGAACGTGGCTTGAATGGTGGACCCGGACGTGATGGTCAAGATGGTTTGCCCGGTGCTCCAGGTCTTAAAGGTGATCAAGGGTTTGTGGGACCGAAGGGTGAACGCGGCTTGCCTGGATATGAGGGACAAAAGGGTGATAAGGGCGAACAAGGACCGGTCGGTCAACCTGGTCTTCCAGGAGCTCCTGGTCTTAAGGGAGATATTGGTTTGCCGGGATTAGATGGTCTGCCTGGAGCAATTGGCGCGTCCGGAGAGAAGGGCTACCCTGGACCTAAAGGTCGTGACGGTCGCAATGGAAACCCAGGCTTGAGAGGCCAGAAGGGTGAGCCCGGCTTGGTGCCACCTCCTGGACCTAAAGGTGAACCCGGTCACCCGGGACGAGATGGTCAAAAGGGCGACCGAGGCCCACCGGGTGAACGCGGCTTAATTGGATTGCAGGGTGAACGAGGTGAGAAGGGTGAGCGTGGTCTGATTGGCTTGACTGGCACAGTTGGCCGTCCAGGCATCAAGGGAGACAAAGGCGAGCAAGGTTTAATAGGATTGGAGGGTGCCGTCGGTGCTATCGGCTTTAAGGGAGAACCAGGTTTGCCATGCACAGGAGCTCAGGACTACCTTACCGGCATTCTATTAACGCGTCACAGTCAGAACGACCAAGTGCCACAATGTGCCTCAGGCCATGTGCAGCTATGGACTGGATACTCACTCCTTTACGTCGATGGTAATGACTACGCACATAACCAAGATCTCGGATCTCCTGGCTCTTGCGTGCAGCGCTTCTCTACACTGCCAGTGCTGTCGTGTGGACAGAATAATGTCTGCAACTACGCCTCCCGTAATGACAAGAGCTTCTGGCTGTCGACATCGGCCCCCATACCCATGATGCCGGTAAACAACAACGAGATCAGCAAATATATCTCACGCTGCGTCGTGTGCGAGGCACCAGCCAACGTGATTGCCGTGCACAGTCAGTCCTTGGAGATTCCCAGCTGCCCCAATGGCTGGGAAGGCCTTTGGATAGGCTATAGTTTCCTGATGGTTAGTCGTAGCACTTCTCCTATTAGGCTGAACTGAACTAACAACTTTTTTTATAGCACACAGCCGTTGGTAATGGCGGCGGTGGACAGGCTTTACAATCGCCTGGTTCTTGTCTGGAAGACTTCCGTGCCACACCGTTCATTGAATGTAACGGAGCGAAGGGACACTGCCACTTCTACGAGACAATGACTAGCTTCTGGATGGTCACTTTGGAGGCCAGCGAACAGTTCCAGAAGCCCGAACAGCAAACGATTAAGGCGGGCAACCTACTAACGCGCGTCTCAAGATGTCAAGTCTGCGTGAAGAACTCGTCGTAGGCGACATTTAAAGCCAATCGACGCAGGATGAACCAAAAAACTGCAATAATTTTAATCTAAATGTAATGCTTAACTATACGATTTGCAAAAGGTACCAACGAACACCCCTTTGTATACACGCACACATACACACACACATACACACACGAACCAACACTGCTACAAATTCCTTAAACTAACCACAAAAAACGCCCAAGGCCGGGCCCAATGCCATTTTTGTATCTGCCAATTTTTTCGTTTTCCACAACGTTTTAAACAAATGTAAATGTAGTTACGCGTAAGTTAAGTAAATAAAGAAATAATAAATTAGCCTGGTATATGTAAAGTAAATACATATAAATTTAACAGTTACCAGTCACACTGAATTGAATTTATATTTCCAGAATCCAATTACATGCAAGTGCCAAAGAATACAAATTTGAATAAAAGGCGATTAAATAAAGTACTACCAACAAATATAGACAGTTTTATAAAATGATTTTGAAACAAAAAATAAAAATATATTTTTAAAATTAATTTTCCACAATTTCTAAAAAACGAGCTAAATATTGGGTGTACTATTTGTAAGTCGAAAAGTAAATTGTGAAAATTCAAAAATGTATAAGTTATCAACTTTTAAGCCAAAAAATACGTTGTTAGAGAACAGTTTTACTTTTCGGTTAATAACATACCAGATATACATAGGTGAAGCTTTAATAAGTGCCAGCACCTATCGGGATGATCGACATAACAGAGAGATATAATTTGATATAACTTTTGCGATAGAGCCGACCACTAAAGGAAATACCGCAGCTTGTTAAGAATTATCTATAAAAATATATAAAATGACTATTCTCCTAAGTGCTGGAAGCTTTCATGCCAAAAACCAGATAAAGCCAACTGGTAATTTACTTGTAAACAAGAGAGAACGCTACAGTCGAGCAAGCCCGACAGTGTAATACCCTGTACCCAGGTAAACTTCCGTCACTGAGTTATATGCGCCCATAGCAGCAACAAAAAGAGGAAGAAGAAGAGCGAACTTGTTGCTGCAGTTTGTGGGGGTTGTACTGGCGAGAATTTGTTTCGCTAATAACTTTTCTTAGAATTGACCGAATTGAATAAAATAATAAATAAAAATATAAAAATATAAAAAATAAAAATAAATAAAAATAAATATAAATTATGTGTGCAAAGTTTGGTTTAGGTAGCATTTAAAATGTGGACGCTATTGACGAAATTCTGTAGCGGGGGAAGGGGGGGAAAATTAAAAAAAAAAAAATAAACTCGTCCTTACTCGGACCTAGGAGAATCTGGATGCCAACTTTGGTTATTCTAGCTTTTATAGTTTCTGAGATCCTCGCGTTCATCCAGACGGACGGACAGACGGACGGACAGACGGACGGACATGTCTAGATCGATTTCTCTCGTCATGCTGATCAAGAATATATATACTTTATGGGGTCGGAGATGCTTCCTTCTGTATGTTACATACTTTGCACAAACCTAATATACCCTGTTTACCCTACGGGTACAGGGTATAAAAAGGCATTCCTAGATTCCGCTGTATAGTTATAACTCTTCTAGCAAAAAGAATAAACAAAAACCCCTCGACTGTTTGAACCCACCACTAAACAGTAATGATATTTTTCCACTAAGAAAGAAAATGCATTTAAATAATTACACATATTTCCAGATATCAAAGTTACACTGCAATCGTGTTTTACACACCCTGATATTTGCAGCATTTCTCTTTTGGCAGATAAGATCCAAAAGGAAACCTTCTTTTAAAATAAACATAAAGTGGTATTGAGAGGTTCCATGCAAATTCTTGACTTGATGTTTTGTTTTACACAATACTTAGAGTATTACCTTTATTTGCTTAAGAGCTTCATACATGATGAGTAAATACGTTGCTAAATAGGTTTGGTTAAATCGTGTATAATAGAAAACACCCCAGCATTCTTAAAATATTTCTCTCTTCTAGCAAACAAGATCCAAAAAGAAAGCACGAATCGCTGCTCTAACACAACTCAAAGGAGTATTCAAAAGTTATATACAAATCCACCACTCGACATCCACAATTGCCCGACACTTGTGCGCATGTCGGTGACGTGCGCGCCCAGAGGGCGGCGATGATGAGGGACCGGTACGGTAATGATAAGTATGAAAACAGAAATTCCAATTGGGGGTGGAAAATCAGGCAAGGGGGCTGCCTCAGCAGCAGAAGCAGAAACGTTTGTACGTTCCAGCAAGGGCAACAAAAATAGGGGTAGCTTTTGGGTCGAATACGGATTCGAATACGAGTTGGGAAATATAAGTTGCAGAGCACAAAGAGACGTTGGCGAGTGCGGAGCCAACGAAACAGTGGGAGTTTTTGTGAACCACAACGGCAACCAAAAGCTGTTTTTCTTTGTTAAAAATATGTATACTAGACTTAACAACAAAAAAATAAAAAAGTAAAAGTGCAGAAAATGTAAATTGGTTAGGCAGCATATTTCGGAAGAAAAACCTAACTAGAGGCGAGTATAGCAGCACGACCGGAAGCCCAGACACTCGCAGTTACAGCCACAGCCACAACCACAACCACTACCACACAGACAAAGGCAGCGAGACCCACTTGCCAGCAACCCCCACGCACGCCACCAGCAACAACAAAAAGTAACAACCACACAGCCCTATATGATTATCGTGCTGTTGTTGCTCTTCCAATCGCTCTGTCTTTACTGCCAACGTTTGGTGTTACACGTACATGACCGATGGATAAATCGCACAAACGCCCGTCTCCTGGCCGAAGTGGCTGAAACAGTGGGGGATCGCAAGGCGCTCCAACACCTCCAGGAGCAGCAAACCGAGCAGGCAAAGCGTCAGAGCAAAGAGCGCCGCCTGGAGTCTTTTCTGCCTCTCGGCGCCGGTGTTAACCTCGAGGCGTGTAGATTTTGTGCCAACAGTCCGCAAGGATACTGTCGCCACCACTTTCATCTGCAAGAGTTGCAGGTCCAGAAGCAACAACAGCGACACCAGCAGTGGATGCCTTTGGGTTGCTCGAACAGCGGTGAAAGGAGTGTGGGTCAGGAATATCGACAGCTGCGGCGCATTAAACGCGAGCTGAAACGCAGTCTTAACCAACGTTTAAACGTTCAACAACAACACCAGCAAAGCTATCAGCAATACCGTCAGGTCCTCAGTAACTTACAGGCGGAGCAGCAGCAGCAATTGGAGGAGCAGCCGGAAGAGGATCAGCAGGAGCTATCAAGTAGCCAGACATCGTTAACAAGTGGCTTTATATCGTTGGAGGAGCAATCAATCTCGTCAGCCACAACACACTGCACCGACTTGGACGATGAGGAGCTACCGCCCATATTCCGCACCCACATAGTCACCAGCTATTTGTAGACGAACCACTCAATCACCCTTCAGTACTTCAGCTAGAACAATAGACAAAGCAAGCCTGGCAGCTTCATTCAAGCAAAAACAACAGCAATTCAACTCGAGTGTTACAAATTTTCAGTGATTGTCGATTGTTTGAGCTTTTCGGAACCATGTCTGACATCGAAGCGCCTTTGCAAGCTCAGCCGCAGTCCCAGTCGCAGAATTCCCGACGTCGTCGTCATATTGGTCGACGCAGTGGACATCACTATGAGGGCAACAAGCAGCAGCAGCAACACCAGCAGCAGCAACAACAAACACAGTCCTTGCACGATCAGCATCAGGGCCCACTAGAGCACGGCCTGGAGGATAACTGGACGTGGAGCAAACGCTATCGTTCCAAGGAGGTTGTATTAAGCGGCCCCAATAGCCGCACCGTGCACTTCCATCCGAACTGGAGCAAAGGTACGGCCGGAGTGCAGGGTAAGCGACCTTTGAACAATGGACGTTATTATTGGGAGCTGCACGTCTCCCAGCGAGTCTTCGGAACCTCCATTATGTTCGGCATAGGGACGCGACAGGCACGTCTGCATGCCAACGCCTTTCGCAACATGCTCGGTGAGAACGAACATGGCTGGGGGCTCAGCCATAAGGGCGTACTCTGGCATAAGGGCGTGGCATTGCTGTATACCAAACGCTTTCGCGAAAACCATCCCACACAAATAGGTGTACTCTTCGATGGCATTGAGGGTACCCTGACCTACTATAAAGACGGCAAATGCTTGGGCATAGCATTTAGAGGACTCGAAAAGGTGAGTCATGAAGATTGCACATGAGTTTTCAACTCGTACACCGAAAAACAGAGCATAATGGATATAAAAATATGGCTTCAGCTGTTCCTTGAAAATGCTAGATCGTAGCTAGTTTTTGCCATAATTCTATAGCAATTATTAAAGGACTCTCTTGAGAATATCGCCCAAATTCGAATCTAAAATTGCAATTTAAGTTATAATTTCTGTTTTCCTTGACGACGTCTCTTTGTTCCTCCTCCTCCTTACTTTCGATTCAACAGACTCTGATTGGTATCCTACTTAAAGTCTCCCTCATATACTTGTATTTACACCTCTTTCTCTCTCTCTCTCTCTCTCCCTCTCTCTCTCTTTTCGTTTTAGGTTCAGGAGCCGCTGTATCCCATTGTCTGCTCCACGGCTGCTAAAACGGAGATGACTCTGAAATGTACTCGACGTGAGTTCGTTAATCTGCAGGATCGTTGTCGAGCCGTCATCATGCAGCGCGTGCGCACCGCCGCGGCACTAGAGCAACTTAATCTGCCCCTCCCGCTGCCCATTATCGACTATTTGAGCGAGGTGATCGACGATATGGAACCATTGCGCCAGGTAGACAACTACGATATACTGTGTGATTTCTAGAGTTCGGATTTCCGCGTAGGGTTTCGACTGTGCAACAGCCTTAAGCCGACGCGGAACTAACTTACTAGTTGTTCGTTTAATCGAAGTCGAAGGTTTATTAAGCTCTGGCACCACTGAATTGGAGGCACCACTCTGTGTTCCTCCTCCATTTAACTTAATGGAAATTCCAGCTCAGTGGAGTTATAGCTTAGATCAAAATACCGCTCTAGTCATTCGATAACGTATTACTTAAGCTATGATCATGCAGGCAAATGTTTGCCAGTCAGACCACACTTCGTAAGTATATACAAAGAATGTATATTTTAGGTGACCGCAGTGGAAATGTATAAATTTGATTATGATCTATGATTATATACGAGTATGTATGTGTAAGGAGGCGCCGATATTCAAGAGAACCGTGAAACTTAGTTGTGCCATATAGTCTCGATCGATGAGCGGCAGAATCGAAATTAATGAATTTTTGAATGTATTGTAAATTGAATGCAATGTACATTGTAAATTTTGAAAGAACGCATGCGTTTTACTTTGTACTTATTTTAGTGTTTGAAATTAGCAAAAATAATTGTTTTCTTTTGGGGGAATAGGCCAATTCGGTGCAATATTTGTGATATAAGTCGTATGCTGCAACAAGGCGGGAGTTGATGGAGTAAGAAGATTCTTTAAAGTCGATCCTTTCGCAAGTTACAAATACAAATGTTTGTCTTTAAAAATTAGACAATGCGAGCTCACCGTAAAATAAACACAAAACATATATAAATATACACATAAATTTAATCTCTAGTATAGACGCGCAAATCAAATGTAAATTGGGCGCATATTTTTTGGTACGAGTGTGGAATCTAGTCAAAGAAATCGAACACTTAAATTCACATCAAGTTGTGGAAAATATATGTATGTAGTAGTTTGTAAATTAAATTATTAGAAAATATTTCAATTAGCTCGTGTAAGTTTATGAATAGATACAGAATACTTTGGTTTAAGGCGCAAACACGGTCGTAAAATAAACTATTCTAATAAATTCAAACTAAATCCTAGTCAAATGTGCTAATAATTAAATGAATACATTACTGTTACAGTGAATGTACAATATTTGCCTCAAATGCAAATCAACTCAAATTGGAAAAGGGTAATCAAATATTAATTGGCAGCAACTGAATAAACTTTGTAAGCATCCAAACAACTTCACGTAAAAGTAAGACACAATAAATTCGAAATAGTTTAGTAAAAATTATTTATTGTACTATTACCTATTATGTGGATTCTTTTTGGTGTCTATATATAAATTAATAAATTATAAATGTGTACGTATGTATAAACACAATTTTGTACAGACAGTGCAATTAAATCTGCACATGTTTGCCTTTTAATATAACAATACTACATTTCAATTTGGAACTTCTGTACTCAATTGTCAGTTTAAATAAATAAAACATAATTGTATGAACTAAATGACACAAATAAACATACAAGGGCTTAATGCTGACAAAGCAATTGTTTTGATTCGCAAGATATGGCCATAAGATTACAGTTCATCCTCGAAGTGGTTTATGTTCTGAAGATGATCCCCGTAGTCGGTTGCTTCGCTGCCCACAAACGTGTCATAGTTGTTGAGAATTTCCAAATACGACAACCGATCGTCGTGATCCTCATCAGTGCTCACAAATAGATGGTCCACCTCATCGACGGCTACATCCTCATTGCTGGGCACTATCCAAGTTAGTACCTCGTTGCCCGCTAAAAAGCCATCGCTGTTGGCATCGAAATCTGTGTCGAAGCGATCTTTCTCCAATATAAGCCAATCCTTGTCATGGTGCTGCGCTGCATCGCCAACAAATTCTTGAAAACTAATCTTGCCATCGTGATTTAAGTCCTTGTCCTGCATGGTGTGCTCCAACAACACTGGCAGCATTTGTGGATGCTCCTCTGGGTTTTGGAAGAACACAAATTCCTCCAAAGTGAGCTCTCCATCCTTGTTAGTATCGGCTGCATTGAACATTTCCTTGTCCTGCTTGATCATTTTCTGCTCTTCCTCGTAGCTGTCGAAGTCAATGACTTCCTTTTTAAAATTTTCATCCTCCATGGCATACGTGTCCTGCAGATATTCCTTCCAGGTAATCTTATCATTGCTGTCCTGATCGATCTCCTCAAATCGATCAGCTGCCTCCTCCTCGGACAGCTTTCTGCAAAGCATAACATTCGATTAATGACAATAATTACAATTTCCTATCCACATAGATACATTTAGGAGCTTTTAGTAAATCGAGCAATAGCAGAAGCCTAGTTACAAGATTAGCATTGTGCCCACGCTGTATTAATCAACAAACAACACTCACTTAAAAGACCTTAAAATCCAAGCTTTCAATTCGTGCCGATCAATAAATTCATCTTTGTTCAAATCCATCATTTTTATCAATATAGCCAGCCTTCGTTTCGACTCCTCCGGCGAGAGTGTGTCAAACTCCTGAGCCTCTTTTGTGTTGCCTGGGGAAATTCCAAACATATGTTTGTCAGTCGTATGTATGTACATATATCTGTTCATATGTCGTCTTCTTCCATTCTTTGCACGTGAACGTGAGCACACAATAGAAACAAACGCCCAGTAATTGAAATATGAAATTTTGAAATGCGCATTGATATACAAAGAAGCGGTAGAAGCAGAAACTCATAAAAATAAACCAAAATAAACAATATGCGTTGAGTAAACCCGCAACCATCTCCACATACAATATGCCCGCTATGTCCGATATATGACTCATAAAACGAATACCCACCTATGATGGCCTCATGGTCAAAATCCACGTTATGCTCGCCGTGTTCGTCGTGATGATGGGCATCCCGTGGGACATAGACGCCATCCTTAACGCGTTCCTTACTCGTATGCTTCTCGTGCTTATGTGTGGCGACAGCACCATGGGTGGGCATGGGTCCAGCAACCACTATAAAAGTGACAGCACAGAGCAGGATCGCCGAAATTCTAAACTTTGCAGGCATCTTCCCAAGCAATGAGTAATGTTCCCCAAATGTTTATAAATTTGGCAACCACTTCAATTTAACGTGGCAATGTGGTGGCAGCGTATGTGTATTTCTTTTTCATGCACGTCGCTTGCTTGCCAGGAGAAGACTGAGACGCAGAGCAGATGGGATGCTGTGCTGTGCGTTCTAATGTTTTGAATACATACATACGTACATACATACACACACAAAAGCAATAGCCAGCGCGTTCTTGTGGCTGAATTCTGGCCGGCGGCAATGTACACGTAATGGCCAAGAATTTGTTGAACTCAAGAGACCTTTGCTGCTGATTTGCGTAACCTGAAGTATGTTAATTTATGTATAGGAACTGTGATTTTTTTTATTGTCGTTCCCCTTACCAACAGTTTAACCAACAGCTTAACCAACAGCTGGAAGCAGTAAGTGCAGGATTTATGTGGCTTACACTGTTGCTACGCCCACTCGTGACTAAATATTTATACAGGCATCACAATTAATTGGTTAAAATTCATAAATACAATTTAATACATCTTAAGAAAAATGTACACGATTTAAACACTGCATTGTTTTGTATAGAATTGGATTGGTCGGAGCTAGTTCCAAAAACCGGATCTTTAAATACAGTAACCGAACCAAATCATAGTTCCTTAATGTAGTTCCTGTTTCCACTAATAAACGAAACAAATTAAATGAAATTAATTGGCGAATGAAATTCATGAAATTGTTAAATATATCCATGAATAGTATTTAAGTACAAAGGGACATTTCTTAATCACTAAATCATAGAAAAATGGACCGCTTAAATATAAACAAATCTACGAGAACTAAAAGAGTTGAAAGAGCGACGAGTTCGTTGGCTCTGAAAAGGAACGTTCAGCAGTTTAACCGCTTATTGAATTAAAGTTCCCATTTCAACTAGGTATATATTTGTACTTTCCGACCAGTGTTGGAAAGCTTGTCAGCTATTGGTATTTTTGCATTATATGAGCTGGTCATTGGCCAAGTTGTTAGGCACAGCGCACAAGCCTAGTAAAATGTTGCGGTTTCTCTAAATTGAAAGGTGTTTAATATATTTAACAAATTTATAGTGCATTCTAACCAACCATCTGGTTGATAATTTCTCAAATAATAAATTGAGCCTGTTGGCAAACGAAGCGAAACACAGTTTCGCCTACAGTTTTGTAAGCAGATCGAACAAAGGTAAGCTGCAAGCTCGGCAGCAGCAATGCAAAAATAAAATGTGAAAAAAATTAGCAAGCTGCCATCGTGAATAAATTTGATTAAGTTTAAGTGACATCATTGTGTCACCAGTTTTGGAGTTGCGTAGAAGCAATGAACGACAACGTTAATGACGCGCTTGTATTTATTTGGAAACTTGATCATAATTTACTTTCGTATTGTGTGCCCAAAGCACGCAAAGGATACGAAAGACGTAAAAAGGGGCAATTAAAAACGGGGTGTGTATATGGACTTGCGGTTGGGGTAGGACTTGCGTAGGCGAGCACATAAACAAATCTATGGGGGTTGGGGGGGCTTTATTTCGGTTGACGAACGGAAACACATATTTATTTATTTAGTTGGGTGGCGTAATTATAGAGTTTGAATGGCGGGAGACTACACAACGGTTGAATGGCATTTGGCATGCAACTAGTCCGTATGTCGGCAAACGGAAAATCCCATTATCCTGGCCAACAACGTTTTTGATATTCCATGCGTCATGTGCTTACATTGTTGGCTAATCCAATATAAGTTGCTAACCATTTCAGAGAGAGAGAGAGAGAGAGAGCACGAAAGCGTTGCGGCATCAACACTATAAATAATAAACAAAACTACAACTAACAACAAAAACGCAAGCCAAGCAGTAAATACGCTTTGCACGCTCGCCAACGAAAAGCTCAGTCGTAAGCCAACATTCAGACCAACAGCAGCCGCAAGCGTCGTGGTTGTCGTCGTTTTTTTCGGCATTACCTTCTACAGCCAGCCATCAGTTGGCTTTACCATTTGTTATTTTTGTTAGCCAGTGTTTGTAACGGTCACGCTTCGATCCGATCAGCCCGCGCTCCATAAGCGCAGTACAAGAAATACCACAAAAGATCACATACAAATGCCGTATATTATCATAAGAGGCAACCTCGCCTCCTACAGTCACAAATATCCATGGCGGGTGCTTGTCTCTGGATTGAAAGGTAATCTCCAATACCAGCAACATTAGCAACAAAAACAACAAGTACAATTGCACTTGACGCGCTTTATCAAATATCCACACTCGTCTGCATAGTTTTTCTTTACTTTCTTTATTGCTTTGCGCCTTAAGGCGTAACACATATATTTGTAAGCGCAGTTTCTTTATTTCATTGTAGGTTTTGTCTATTATTATTGTGACACAATTAATTCAGAGTGTTTGCCGAGCATACTACACATGTACACACTCACACACACCACACGTCGTTTATTTAGCTTATTCCACACATATACAGTCTTTGAATGGGCCCGGCCTTGAGCGTGGTGTTGTACAGTGGCTTCCAAAAAATGTGTGCATGTGAGCCGCTTTTTACATATGAGTTTCGTAAAAATCCAGCAGAGGGCGCGACTAGCAGCCTTGACAAATTTAAAGCAAATTTTATTTTGCAGCTTCATTTTTGTAGTTGTTTAACGGCATATGGGCCATATTATTTAAAAATTAAATGTCTTGGCAACATAAAAAAGCTTGTTGACCACTAAATTATATTTTAGCATACGCCCTCCAAAAGTTGTTTTGGTTTTTATGGATAATTTAAAGCTTAAAGGGAATTGTTAGGGCTGTGTTGATTGAGTGTTTCCCATTCAAAAGATAGAATAACAATTCGACTTTTTAATTTTAAAATCCCTTGAGATACATTCCCATGGAGCTAGCAACCTAATTGGCCATAGAACAGACTACAGTTGCGATTTTGCTTAGCCCAGAATTGATTTATTTTTAATGGATTAATTTATATGGCTTATTTGCTTATCTATTCGCGATTATGGCTATTTAAGTAATTTTGTGGCAATATAAATTAAAAATAAATCTTTAAACTGATTTACAAATAGCAAGAATGTTTTGTTTGATTACATTATTATTTCCACTTCCCGAATTGCAAAATGATTACGAATGTTGTTAGGGAAATCGCGAATACTATTTGGTTTGCACTATAAAATATAAGTAGTATTATTAACTTTTAGCTCTTTAATAACCTTTAAGCTTACTCATTTTATTTTCTATAAGAAACTCCTCTGGTTTTTAGTTCTCGAAGAAACAATAAAAATAGGCGCAAAACCAGATGACGAAATAGCCATTGTTGCAAAGAAAAATAATATCACGCAAAACATACCACCATTAATGGTTTATATACTTGAGTACAAACATATGTACGTACATGAATATATAACTTATTCTTATGAGTTTCTGACCGCACATACATACACCTGATTCATAGCCGCGATAAACAGCCCTGATAAGGCCCACTCGCTTCCAACTTACACCACAACTGTATTATTTGCTCGCACTGACTGTATCGAGCGGTTTGATATTTTTTTGCTCAGCTCGTCGCGTCAGTTTCGTTTTGCGGCGCAGTGCGTGCAGTTGACGGCGAAAGTGCATGTGAGCTTTAATCTACTTTTAAACAAATCTACACTCATATACATACATACATACATGCACATACACAGTATCTGTGTGTAGACAGTATCTGAGGATACGTAGTAAAAATATTTACGTACGGTTTCGTCAGCGTATTTTGGTTTCTTAATGGAGAACAGCTGCTAGAACGCTGCTGCTGCCTTGTGTGCGTGGGCGTTGGAGGAGAGAGATTGTGGGCGTGTCTACGTGTCAATGCACTTTTCGCATTATCTGTTATATCTGTATATAAACAATTTGTTTATAAACATATTTTGAAATAAAAGCTGAACGGCTTCGCCTGTTTGAATTATGAAACAAAACTGCGCGAAACTCACAAGTTTTGCTTAATTAACACACACACACACACACCAGATATACACACATAGATACATGCCCTGTTCAAACGCTGACGTCATCGTCAACACTCATGCACGAACAAAATAATTTCTAGTTAGCAGACAACATTACTTTTATTGTTTGTAGTATTTTGCTATATTTACTATTTGTTATTCTTTTATTGCGGCGATAAGCAATAATGACAATGGCTAGCTAGATAGCGATTACTTAATGGCATGTCTTAACCATTCCAGCTGACGACATCGAACAGTTAAACAAGTTCTCGTGTGGCGGCTACAGTGATGAGTCGACTATTGTCTATTTAGTGCATCCCTGTCGCATACTATCGGCGCTCGAGGTAAGCTAAAAGGTCACTTAATCAGGCCTCTACCCGTTTCCGAGTTCCATCAAATTGTGCGGAGTCGAAATATTGGAATAGAGAATCGTCTGTGGAAACTAAGTGGATTGCCAATTTCGGAATTCGAAAACGCGATCACCACTATACATTTTAAGGGGTCTAATGAGAATTGGTTCACTAATCAGGTCCTTTCTCGTTTCCGAATGGAAAGACTTGCAATTGAATTGAGTTATACGGTTTAAAAAGCGTCTAATAAAAAAAATTGGCAAACTTAACTTCGCATAACTCGCTTAAGAAACTGCACGCACTTCGACTCCACACTAGTTGTTTGAATTCAGAAACAAGAACCGTTTTCAAGATATAGGGGGCATTTGACTGAAATTTTCGTGTTATTTGCAGATATTGGGTTTTCGCGTGGTGGCGAGCTCATCCACAGCTGTTAAGCAGGACTATAACGAGTATATGTGGACCATGCGCAAGGAGTTCGACGAGCCCGAACCAGTGGAAGCCGAGTCAGTCGTACGCGAGAATCTGTCGAATATAGGACGGGAAGCGGCTAGTTTAGGCAACTACCACAAGGTTGATTCGCCGGAATAGATCTAAAAAACAAAAAGCAACCCACAAAATTCCACAACAACAACAATTCGTTAAGTGCATTTCATAAGTGTGCAAGTGAAGAGGAAATTCCTGTGTATAAGTGTATCTGTGTGTGTGCGTGTGTGTGAATTGTGAAAAACTATAGCAACCCCTCCAAAAAGAAAAAACCAAAACAGACAGCCCTCTTCCCCGTAACCCAAAGTGGGCAACGACAACAGCTCAGCACGCTCAAGTAAAAAAAGTGAAAAGAGGCGCACGAAACCGTCGGCGATCCCACAAAGTCCAACAGAAGCCGAAAAAGAAACAGCAAAGCCTAAACAGGTACAGGAAATCGGTCGCAGCGAAGTCGCAAGTCAAACTATGAGTGAGAATCCTCCACCCCAAGCAAAAGAATCTCATTTGAATTGCGAGTGTCATCCAGCGCCATCAACCACATCCGTTGGCTGCCCCCCCACCAATGTTGTAACCATACCCGTCCCCATACTGCAGACGGAGGGCAACTTTGCTTACATCACCGTCAAGGGCTCCCTCCATGACTACACCTGCACCATTTTCGGCCTCAACCAAGCCGAGGTGCAGGCTCTGAGCAAACGCTTCGACAGCGGCGTCAGGGAGTGCGTCAATGGTATTATGGTCGCTGTGCCGCCCATGGTTATGTTAAACACCCTCGCACAGCTCAGCTACAAGGTGGTTTGCAGTTGCGGCGAGGCCGAAATCTGTTGGACCATGCAGCGTGAGGTTTAGTCTCAATCAATTGTGGGAATTAAACGTGCGGAAATCAGAAATCTTTGACAAAGCAAGCTAAACGTAAACTGAAATAAAACACCCGAAATTATAGAAATTTATAACGAAAATGGATCAGCATAGTGCGGAAAATTGCAAGTGCCACAAGCAAACGCAGCCGGCGCAGCAGACTCTGAGCGATATGGACTTTGATCGTGGCATTTGGAATGCAGGTTAGTGATCCTACCAATACAGGAAGAGATAATCCTAGTACTTACCTACAATCAATGATTAGTTTAGCCGCTGTTTGTCATTTTATAAAATTTTACATCAATTTTTAAAGGCAGAGAAATATGTACTAATAATTAATTAAGAAGCAACAGACTTATTCTAGCAATGAGAATTACAATGTGATCCTTCCAATATCGCAAAAGATAATCCTAGTACTTACCTACAATCAATGATTAGTTTAGCCGCTGTTTGTCATTTTATAAAATTTTACATCAATTTTTAAAGGCAGAGAAATATGTACTAATAATTAATTAAGAAGCAACAGACTTATTCTAGCAATGAGAAAGCATGACTGCGACTTAGTACATTCAATTTAGGGACAAAAAATTACCTAGAAGCTTAGAAAACATTTCCTAAAAATTGGAGTAATAATTTACACACAGAAAGAAAATTCCAACTTGCATAAAACTAGGCGTTTGATTCCACCATCTTACGAGTGTTTGTCTGCCTGAACATAGTTTTAGTAGAGAATCAGACAAGACGTTATTTCGTTGTAGCCTGCTCTCTATTAACTAAGAATTGTGCTTCGATTCCACAGCCATTTATAATGATCCTGAACGTGTTCGGGAATTCATCAAGAAGGGGCAGACGATGGCGCGTGACGAGTGCGACTACACGGCCCTGCACTATGCGGCGAGGAACGGAAACGAGCAGATCTGTCAGCTGCTGCTCACGGAGGGAAAGGCGGATGTGAATGCGGTAACGAAGGGTGGAGCCACTGCTTTGCATCGCGCTGCCATGATGGGTAATTATATAAAAGCCATTACAGCAGCAGTGTCAGTTGCTATATACAGCTTCCATATACATTTCGCAGGACATTTGGATATTGTGAAGCTGCTGGCGGGCAACAAAGCCAACCTGTTGCTGCTGGATGAGTCCGGACAGAGCGCATTGCATCGAGCGGCGATGCGGGGCCAATTGGAGGTGTGTCGTTATCTGCTGGAGCAGCAGCCGGCACTGAAGGAGATCAAGGACAAGAAGGATAAGATACCGTTCGAGTACATTATGGAGAATGCCAATGATGATTTCAAGCTGCTGCTGAAGCCGTAAAAGTAGCCTTCGATCTAATCTAAATTCCAATTTAATTTTAGCACTGTTCCTTCTTTAGAAACGCAAATCCGATTGTAGAGTTGATTGCATAGTTGAAAAACATAATGGATATATGTTTGTTTAGTTTGCAGGCCCATAATCTAAATTAAACTTGTGCGTGCTTGCATTATCGATCAGATCAGTGCACATATCTTATATTCTTATCTTTTATGTCTATTGTATTATGTATTATCTATAATTTACATATCTAAACAGTAAGCGCAAAAATGTTACTTTCAAATTGCTTTTATTGCCTTAGAACCGTGTGGTGGGGTCTAGCCTGTGAAATCGTGTTTAAAATTTAACCTTCGGCATTAGTCAAAATCAAATGTTGTCTTAAAGTAATTTAAAAAGTTAAAATAAATATATATGCGAGTGATGTTTAAAAACATTGTGACTAGTTATAGATCCTAATGCTCAAGGCCCGCGACTCGAAGCAATCTACCCAGTTTTGTGTAAAACAGTTGCAACAATTAAGAAGCTTAGAGTCATTCACACATGTATAACTATTCTGATGCTTATATGGGCGGGGCAAGACATTAGCCAATACATATATATACGAACTATATGCTACCTAAATACAACATACATATAAATATAAATAACTATAGCTACACACAATGATAATCTGAATAAATTCTTTGAATTACAACGCTACAATTAAAGAGTCTACATTCCCATATCCCAAAGCGATCTGCCGTTCACCTCCTCCTCGATGTCCTTCACTGCCGGCAGATCAGCGTAGTGGCTCAGATACCCCTTCAACACCGCCGGTATACACAGCTCGTTCACAATCAGCGCCAAAGTCGACTGCTCCCCCGTCGGCCGATACTTCCGCTGCAGTTCCGGTCGCCGCTGCAGTTGCAACAACAACCGCTGCCGAATGCTCTGTCTGGCCAGCGATTGCAGAGTCTGCGGCTGCGATCCCAGCTGGGACATCTGCTGCTCGAACTGCAGCCTCTGCCGGGACCAGCTGCAGGGACTGGCCCGTTGTTTGTGCGGAAACTTGAAGCCGGCATGGTCTGAGGAGCACAAAGAATGGAACATTAATAGAGCACCAGTAGCTGCAGATAAGGTATCGGTATCCAGAGATAGAGATAAGATATCGGGCATAAGGTTGAGATAACATTTGAAGCTATTATTATTCTCTGTAACAAAGAAAACTCCCCCCTTGGATGAAATCTTGAGATCAACCAATGGGCAGTTTCTTAGAGACTTCACATTCTCGTTGAATGAAGGATAAAAACAGCACTAAATATAATTCTATTGGTATCCAGAGATAGAGATAAGCTCATATTATTCTCTGTAACAAAGAAAACTTCCCCCTAAAAATGGAATCCTGAGATCTACCAATGGGCAGTTTCTTAGATACTTCACCTTCTCTTTGAATGAAGGATAAAAACAGCAATAAATATAATTCTATTGGACAGCTATACTTACGTAGTAGTCGTCCGAAGGCCAGACTGCGCGGTGAGCAATTGGATCGGAGCTCGTTCACCACATGCTCCCGACATATTTGGGCGAGGTTGCAGCCCTCCTGTATAAGCAGCTCAGCAATGTCGAGGTGTTGCAAGTTTATGGCACGCGACAGAGGAGTCTGGCAGTAGATGAGACCACAAACTATGGTGGGCGCATACGAGCTGTAAAGATCCCGACGCGCACTCTCCAGCTTGGCCAGCAGAACGCGCAACACAGCCTGGAAGGACTTCACATCTACGATGTTTTGGACAGCAAAGAGCAGGAGACCCTGCTCCTGGCAGTCGCTGTAAATACCCTGTTGTTTGTGCTGCTCAGCCACGTCCAGCAGATAGGATAACATGCCAGGTAGCTGCTGATGGATAGCCACCAGAATCGGCGTGTGGTTGTCCTCGTCCCGTACGCACAGCCCGTCGCCATAACGGATGAGCAGCTCCACCAGCGGTCGATCATTATAGCGGACGCAACGATGCAGCAAATGTTGGGCCGTCAAACGTCGCGCTCCCCGCTCCAAAAGCATTTGGGCAATGCCCAGATGACGGCCCACCACGGCATAATAGAGAGCGGTGCGATCGAGCTTGTCCTGCAGATTGAGCCTGGCTCCGCGCTCGATCAGTTCCTTGGCCAGCGGCAGTAGACCGCAGACGATGGCCGTCATCAGGGGCGTTTCGTTGTCATCATCCGTTTCGTTGATATTCACATTCGTCTGCAGGATAACGTGAGCCGCCTCCTGGCAGCGCGACTCGATGGCCAAATGGAGTGCCGTCTTGCCATCGGACAGGGTCTTGGCATTTATGAGAGCGCCGTGCTTGATCAGCAGTCGCACCACCTCCACCGACCCTGCGCCCACATGGAGCGGCGTATAGCCCACACTATTGACCACATTGATGGGGGCGTTGTGCTCCAACAGGATGCGAACGCAGTCCGCATGTCCCCAGGCGGCAGCATAATGCAATGGCGTCATCATATCCGAGTCGAATAGATGCGGATCCTGTGCCCGACAACTCGCACAGCACTCTAACTGACTGTGCGCGAGAAACTCGCCCGTATTCTCAAAGGTCTTGGCATAGTAATAGTATAGGGAATCGTCTTCCGACGTCTGCTCCGACTGGCGTATCTCCGCGCCACTACTGGTGGTCGGCTCGAACTCGTCCCACTCCAGTTTCTCCATGTCGTCGGGCGTGGAGCCCTGATCGATTTCCATCGAGTCCGTATGATCTGGAAAAGCCACGAGCTATCAAAAAATGTCTACACGCAGAAGTGTCCAACTGACTTTTCCAACTGACACTCAAAACTAAACAGAAACCTGCCGCTTTGATAGAGTTTTTTTGGGTGTTCTCTTGAACACTCCCCTCCACTCAGATACAATAAACTACAATGCCTACATATGTACAAGTATGCTGCTTATCGTTACGGAAAAGAGAATGAAAATTAGTAGAACCGGTTTCCTCTGCTCATTGACGAACTCTACGAGCATACTCGTAGCTGCAGGTCTCGTGTGCTTTCGCTGTGCATGCATTTCAGAAAATATGCTATCTATGTTTAGATTCCAAATGTGGGTCACTGACAGTCAAGACTATGCTACAAAAATAGGTACCCATTGCGGTTGTATTTTATGATAATGCATGCCTCCCCGGGTTCTTTTCTTTGCTTTGATCTAAAACGTATTTTTAAGATGTTTGGCATCTTTCAGATCGTCTCTGTTTCTGGCCACCAAGGCACAGAAAATATTTGTCCATTCTTAAAGCGTTCCTACGAACTGATCGTTACATTTTAATTTTTGTATAAATTTCAAAAAATAAAGTCGATAAATAAGAGTTTATACCATTCAGGTATTTCGATCCAAAGCCAATGTTGTATTTAACAGAATTTCCATAAATGTGTCTGGATATCATAAATTGATTCCTTACACATAAACATATTAGGAAAATTAGTTCGATCGAAAAACTTTGTTATTACTGAGTGTCTCCATAACTTCCTGTCAATATTATGTTTTATTTGTTTATTAATTTTTCATAAATTGATTTCTTTGTATTTTTTTAAATTAATGAAATTTTACGTTTATTTTATGAATCGTTTTAAATGCTTTAACTTTTCTCTGTTTGTTCGTTCCATTTTTAATAACATATTGTTTTTCAGCCAATATTTATATTCTATGGCCAAAAAACATAATGAATTAAAGTTTTTTCAACTATAATGGCTTGTAACCGTTATAAATCTTTTGAAAAATAACAGAATTAGTAGAAATAATTAAAATTAAATTGTTCAATCAAAAATAAATTCAAATTACAGACCTGCCTTTTATAAAATGTGGTTTTTAATGCTTTAATGTTTAAACAAATATGAGATTCTAAGAACATTTGTTTCAATATATTCCAAATATTGGTAAATGGATATTTATAAGTAAAAATAAATAAGTGGCTGAAATTTAACAATATTTTCCTTCCAATTATTTGTGATTAGCATTTTTTCTTGGAAAATTAAAGCATCGGCTTAAAAACAGATTTTCCAAATGCGTTTTTATTTGGAAAAAAATATATATTGTCAAAAAATATATTCATAATGCTATTGAAAACGCATGAAACCCTAATGAAGTTTTCAAGTAAACGATTTCAGGATGAAGATTTATTCCTCATATAAAGTTATTTTTTTATATTGAAAATTTAAACATTTCGCTAACCCTTTATGTATAAAATAAACTTTGAATGGGTCCTACTAGCAAATAATTTAAAGAGTATGTACAATTGGCATATTCTTTTTGAAAACAATATAAGCCATCGCCTTTCCGGTTGGCACCAAAATCGTGACCCCATCCCTCTGTACCACCAGCTGCCTGCCATGCAGCTTAGCGCTATCGATTTCTGCAGCCAGCTGTTGCCCCTGAGCTGAAGATAAATCTGAATCGGAACTCACTCTGATGGAACACATCCAGCTCCGGCTCCTCGCAGGACTGCAGCAGCAGCTCGAGGAGCTCAGCATCACCGAGCAGGGCTGCTGTGCCGACAGCTGTGCGGCCGCAAGTCGAGGACACGTAGGTGGCCTGCGCCCCCCGCATGATGCTGTTGAGGGCCTGCTCGAAGTTGCCGTTGTGGACGGCAGTCAACAAGCGTTCGTTGAGATCGTAGGAAAGCATTATGTGTGAGCTAAGCTCATATTGTTATTAAGCGGATGGTTGTTAGTAATTTAGATTTAAAGAAGCCGCAATACAAACACAAATAACAACCAAAAAATATGGAGAAGCTGCCGTGAAAAATATACCGTTACACTCCCCGGAAAAGCGCACGAAAAACTAAACTAAACAATAGCAATGCGCACGAGCCAGACACGAGTAAAGGGCAAGTGCAGCCACATCCCGGTGGTGTCAAAACCACCACCAAACAAGAGAGCACAAGAGAGAGAAGCCGAACGGACAGCTGGCCTTTGACCTTACACACACCTACAAAGCGTAAAAAATATATTTTCATTGCCGTGAAAAACAAGCATTTATTAATTTTCTTCCTCTCTCTCTCTTTTGATAACGAATTTTATGCTTAGTCGTCTATATTGTATGTGGATCTGCTTTTCAATCGTTAGACTACTTGATTTCTTTGGCCTCCTTGGCGTTCTGCAGCGATTCGGTTATAAAGAGTTTGGCCAATGATTGGGAACAGAACTGTGCAATATGTTGCGAGTGCGTGTTGATCTGGCCAGATGTGATCGTGGCTGTCAGGCGGGCCGGCACAGGCATGGGACGGAACTGTTTGATCACCTCCTCCTCGGGCACAGTGGGCTCACCCTTGGAAGTGCGCACAGCATTCTCAGCAGCCAGCTTGGCCAGAGCACGGTGTTTCTCCTGTTAAAAATAATAAGCAAGGCCATTCAAATTTCCGTCAACATAACTTAAAAGTAGTACACACCGTATCCTGCTTGAAGACCACCTGCTGGTACTTGTTGTAGCGCACCGCCTCCTGGTAAAGCTCGTCGACGCGCTCAATCAAGCTGCGCATATGATTCTCCAGCACCGACGCCGTTCCCAGATCCAAAAAGTTGTGGCCCTTATCCTCGGGCAGCAATTCGTTTAATTCGCTCATCATGATGTTGGTCAGTGGCGAGTTCTTAATGACAATCGGTATTTCGGCAAACAGGCTCTCGTAGCCGACCTTAAGATTGCGGAATGCCTCGGGCGTAAAATCGCCATCCTTGTACATTTGGATGGCCTGTGGCGTCAGACGGTAAGCCTTCAGACAGAGGAAACCACGCGAGGATTTCTGCGTATCGTAGACCACTACAACGGATTCCTCAATGCTGGTCTGATAGTGGTACTGCGATTCGAGCAGCGCCAGAGACAGACTATTACCCACATCAGAGCTCTGATACCAGCCGACGTGCAGATGATCAACATTAACGCGACGCAGACGCCGCATGACGGTCAGTTGATACATTTCCTCGTCCATGGTCTCATCATTGCTCTTTGGGAAGGGAAAGCAGTTGGTTATCTCCAGACACTTGTCAACAACCAAGCCGAGCAGTGCGCCCTGAGCCAAATCCATGTTGCTGGACTCCTCATGGCAGTGCTTAACCATTTTCATGACGGCCTGCGTTGGGTGAAATTATTATAAATTATTAATGTAGAATGCAATATATGACAATGCGGCTGCGGCACTCTAACACACACACACACATACAAAACACAAACATAAAGGGACAGCGCGTGGCATGCGGGTGTGTGTTTCCGCTTGTTCCAGCATTTGCCATTTTATGTTGTGCAGTTATGGGCTGGCCAGAACATCGCAGCTTCATTTGTTACTTACCAAACCGTCGCATTGTACATAATTTATTGTATTTTCTGATTCCTCAGTACGAGCATGACGAGCAGCACGATTTGCCATTTTGACGACGAGAGAGAAAAGACTGGCGATAGCAAATGACAGCACTGTCACTCAATCGATATATGAATATAAGGGACATTGCTTGCGCAAATGGGCTTGTTTTTCAACACTGTCTAAAAACAAACAGCTGATCCGGCTGGTAAACCGATAAAAAAAACAACAAATTTGTTTATCAAGCCAGCTCTTAGGAATATTGCGGCAAACTAGGTCGCCAGCTTGTTAAACTGAAGTTAATCGAGCTGATAACAACGTTGGCGTAACGTTTGGCTCGGAAGCTCTGGTAGTCAAAAAATTAGCAACGCTGGCAAAAAACACACCCAAATCACAATCAGCATGTCGTCGACATCGTCTTCTAATTGGCGTGAACTATTCCCCACAAAGTTGACTTTTATCATATTTTTGCTGTATATGTCATTGTTCATTGGACAAGGTACGTGGGCCAGATATTGTATCATACTAATCTGTGATGGATTATAATAATCTTCCCCCGCAGGCATATTTGTGACAGCGTCGCAGGAATCCAATAATTCATATAGCTACAATACCGTAACTGTTGTGCTGCTGACGGAAGTCTTCAAACTGATAGTCTCTACATGCCTATATTGCCGAGAGTATGATCGGAAGCACAGCTTATAGCTATGATATTAATTATCTCATTTAACCCGCAGAAATAATCTTAAATCATTAGTCCGCGATGTTCATAAGGATCGAAATGTGCTGGCTCTGTATATGGTGCCAGCTTTCCTCTATTGCCTCTATAACAATCTTGCCTTTGTTAATCTGGCCACGTTCGACCCCACCACGTACTATCTGCTGCTGCAACTGCGCGTCGTCGTCACGGGCATACTGTTTCAAATTATCTTCAAAAAGTACTTGTCACAGCGTCAATGGGTGTCGCTTATTTTGCTGACTTGTGGCTGTATGCTGAAGCAGTTAAATTTCAGCAGCTTTTACAGCGATGCCAACGACGACAGTGAGGCGGCGGCAATTCAAGCTGGCAATTTGGAGCCAACAAATTCGTCACTTACGCAACAGAACCAAGTACAGGGCAAAAATATGTCCGGATTCGATTTTAGTCTGAGTGCTGTCTTCATATTAGCTCAGACCTTTTGCTCTTGCCTTGCTGGCGTCTACAATGAATATTTGCTGAAGGACAAGGGCGCCAATGTGAATATCTTTGTGCAGAATGTGTTCATGTATCTGGACTCGATTGTGTGCAACGCGATTATCCTGCTTATACGTGGTGAGCTGTTGGACGCCTTCAGTGCTAAGAATATGGACAGCATCATGCGTTTCAGCGTCCTTATCATTATCATCAACAATGCCGCCATTGGCATTGTAACGAGTTTCTTTCTAAAGTACATGAACTCTATTCTGAAGACATTTGCGAGTGCTTTGGAGCTGCTCTTTACAGCCGTGCTGTGCTATTTTCTCTTCGCGATACCTATCTACATAAACACCGCGTTGGCCATCGCAGTGGTCTCCTATGCCATTTACCTCTACACCCAGAGTCCGGTTATCAACTTGGGAAAAGTGCGTCCATTAACGAGCATCAGCAGTGCAACGGCAGCAGCGACGCCTTACGACAAGCGCAAGCTCCTTGGGGAGGATGCCGACTCGGATCTAGACATGAATATCGTGTAGCAACCAAGGGAGATCGTCATCGGCGTCGTCTTCTCATTTTTCGGACGCATTCATCTAGCTGTAAGCTTTTGTAAAAAGTGTGCTTGTGTAGGAGGGGAGAAAAGGATATGTTTACCAAATACATGACAAGGGACATCATATTAGACTGGACGTGTGCAAGTGTGTAGATAAGTGCCTCCAAATGTTCTAAACGACGAAAATGTATTATTTAATCTGATCGATTGATCGAAGGCTTTGTGCGTTTGATAACGCTTGTAAATGTTTGTATGTATATCTTTTTATGTGTACCTAGATTTCCATTTTAATTTACATCTATAAGCAATAACAATAATAAACAAAATCAAACAAATACCAGAAGAAATGCATTTAATATTTTAAGTATATATATACATATGTAGTTGTATATGTGTGTAAGGTCGATCCTGCAACTTTACGGTGTAGGATTTGCGTTAATGCTCTTTCACTGGCTCATTATCTTTCGCAAGGCAGGACGGCGGCTCCTTGCGAAAATTCTTTGCCGACTCAGAGATTTTATAGCTATTGAATTTTATTTGATCGGCACAAGTCTCTAAATGATTGTCCATTTCCTCAGGCAGCACGCGGTGAGTGGCGTTGTATTTGCAAATGGCTAGAGGTGGTCCGCAATAATTCTTTGAACACTTCACAATATGGCCCGGCATTCGCATCAGGAGAACGCGATGGTTTTTATCATACGGACAAATGCCGTAAGGCAGGTCAGCCATATTAAATGCTTTAAAATGCAATTATTTTAGAAAATTATTTTTAAAATGAATAACAAAAGCCCTAAAACTTTAGAAAACTAACCTTTAAATTAAATGCAAAACTAAGCGATTGCAGATTTGTCACTTTTGTCTGAGTACAAATTAATGCCGTTAGTTTAACTGGCCAGCTTTTTTAGTACATTTTGGTGAACTTAGTATGTTATTGTTTTGAAAGTACTGTCACATTGAACCAGTTCAGAATCATTTCTTGTAAAATTTTCGTGTGTGCGTGGTCGGATAGAAGAAAGCTGTGAATTTAATAAAATATAATTTCAAGGAAGTATTTATTTACAATAATAACGTTATTATAAAACATGGCACGTACCAAGCAAACTGCGCGTAAATCAACTGGTGGAAAGGCGCCCCGTAAACAACTCGCTACCAAGGCAGCGCGTAAGTCCGCGCCGTCGACTGGAGGTGTTAAGAAACCACATCGCTATCGTCCAGGCACTGTCGCTTTGCGTGAGATCCGTCGCTACCAGAAGAGCACAGAGTTGCTCATCCGTAAGTTGCCGTTCCAGCGGTTGGTGCGTGAAATCGCTCAAGATTTCAAGACCGACTTGCGTTTCCAGTCTGCTGCTATCGGTGCTTTGCAGGTGAGAGCGAATTTTAACGCATGAAAATGCAAATATTTGCAGATCGATCGTAATGCATTTTTGTTAATTTCCATCCATTATTTTAGGAAGCATCCGAGGCTTACCTAGTGGGCTTGTTCGAGGACACCAACCTTTGCGCAATCCACGCGAAGCGCGTCACCATTATGCCCAAGGACATTCAATTGGCGCGTCGTATCCGTGGCGAGCGCGCTTAAATTAAGACGCCATCTTGGATTAGACACGCAGCTGCAAAAGCAAAAACAATCGTGAAAAATATGTATAATCCACACCATAAAGACGCATTTAGAAGGAAGGCGGAAATATGCATTTTATTAGTATATTGCTCTTGTTGCGTATTTCAATTTTTGTTTGTAAGAGTATTACATGTTTTGATTAAGTACAAACCACAACGAATTACATGTTAAATGTACAATTACCGATAATAAATAAAACATTAACATATGTACATACATATGTAGTTCAAATGTTGGCAGTTGAGTGTAATTCGTAATAACTAGCTTAACTATGCAAGCGCGTGTTTCTGAGTTGCACTCATTGCAATACATAATGAAATTTGTGTTAATTCAATGCTGCAATTTTTACCTAATGCGTATTTAATAAATTTTCCAAAATAAAGCAGCTGGAAATAGTGGGCAACTTATAAAATACTAGAACATTTTTTCTTTCGGTAGTTTTTGAGCCGACTTCTATTGTGTGAATTGTTGTGTATATAATACATATCCACTAACAATATTATTTTTGGGCAAGCTCATTTATAAACATTTTGATAAACATATTACACATATTGATCGAAACAGCCAATCAAAAAGTTTGCAATTATCTTCATAAAGTCATAATGCCCCGCAAAACTTTTGATTTTCTTTTCGGAACTTTAAATCATGAAAACAATTTCACACATTAAGTAACTATAAAAGGATAAATAAGGAAATGCAAATAAAAAAAACTACCAGCAATTGGTAAGCGATCTCAAAATGTTGACAAACGATCGTTGTTGTTTTTGATCTTAGTATTTTAATGTCACCGTGTGATATTATTAGTATATTTTTGGTGAAATAAAGTGGTATTTTATTACTTCAAGAGTTGTGTCACACTAACCTGGTCGAAGAACATTTGTTGTGAAACTTTTGTGTGTGCGTGTTCGCTCGGAGCCAAGCGCTGAACTTAAAGACTAAAATATAATTTCAAGAAAGTATTTATTGCTAAAACATGGCACGTACAAAGCAAACTGCGCGTAAATCAACGGGTGGAAAGGCGCCCCGTAAACAACTCGCTACCAAGGCAGCGCGTAAGTCCGCGCCTTCTACTGGAGGTGTTAAGAAACCACATCGCTATCGTCCAGGCACTGTCGCTTTGCGTGAGATCCGTCGCTACCAGAAGAGCACCGAGTTGCTGATTCGTAAGCTGCCGTTCCAGCGTTTGGTGCGTGAAATCGCTCAAGATTTCAAGACCGACTTGCGTTTCCAGTCTGCCGCCATCGGCGCTTTGCAGGTGAGAGAAAATGGTGGGAAAATTTTCATGTTGGGCGGGAATTTTATTTAGTCGTGTAAGAGCAATTTCACAATGAATTTTTGTGTACTTATCGATGTGCGTTCTCATCAATTTCTTAGGAAGCTTCTGAGGCTTACCTAGTTGGTTTGTTCGAAGACACCAATTTGTGCGCAATTCACGCCAAACGCGTCACCATTATGCCCAAGGACATTCAATTAGCTCGTCGCATCCGTGGCGAGCGCGCCTAGACAATGACGCCATCTTGGATTAGACGCAGAGCGATGATAGCAGCAGCAACAACAACAGCAGCGCAGACATCGTGCACAACAACAATAGTCAAAACGCATTATTTGTGGAGGGAGGAACACGACGAAGTTGTTGTGGCGTATTTCATTTTAGTTTTAGTCAAGCTAAGTTTACAATATAATTACATACATATATAAAAACTTATGAAAAAAGGAAACATAAATACCGATATAAATATTTACTGGAATAAAGTAATTTTTTTTTAATGTCGAAAAGTTTGGTTTTGTTGAAATGATTATTTGTGTAGTTAGATATGTATGTATGTACTTGTATACGCTTATGGACATAGGCATGCATCTATAGATATATGTATGTATGTATATAATCACGTAGTACATATGTACAGTTGGGGTGGATTGCATATTTCTTTGCCCAATGTGGGCGTTCACTGCATTTTCTTGTTTTCCAGCTCCGTCGCTATGTGAATGGCTTGTGGGGAAAGAAGCAGACAACGGTTTTCATTATTTTACAAAAGGTTTTTATTACTCAGCTGTAAACAGTAAGCAGTTTTGCCCTTATAAGTGTTGGGTTAATGTGTGGGATAGTCTTTAAGTAGAGAATTGTATGTGTGTGTGTGTATGGGTGGATCGCAAATGCAATTTATTTAAAGACAATCGTGTCCAGCATAGCGCCTAGGCACTGGACAATGTTATTTTGCATGACTTTGTCAACTTTCTCTTCCAAATGCCGCTTGGGATCTTGTTTTCCAACATTCTTGATGGCCAGCTGCTCGGGCGTCATCTTCTCCTCATCTTCGAGTGACTAAAAATAAAATGTTGAGTAAATATGCGTTTTAATATTTGGCGGTTAGCCTCCTACTTTGTTGTAATTTTTGGCCAATTCCAGCATTTCGGCCACTGTGTCCTCGTTAATGGAGCAGTGCTCATTGTAATCGGCAAGTGTTAGGCCGTCCTTCCATGACTTTTTGTGCAAGTTTAACAACATCTTTTGCTCCAATTCGTTTTTCCGATAATTGATGCTAATTGAATAGTAATGACGATTCAGTCCATGTATCAGCGCCTGCACTGAAGGCTTTTGCAAATGGCCCAGGTTCGACGTGGTCTGCCGGGGCTCTTGGCCAAGCACCAGCATATTCGGGTTGATTAGACGGAAGGCATCGATAACGACCTTGCCCTTCACCGACTGTATGGGGTCGACGACAACGGCAACTGCGCGCTCGGAGAGCGCTTCAAAGGATTGCTGAGTGTTGATATCAACGCCAGACAGCCAACAGCCGAAGCCAGGATGCGAGTGATACCAGCCGACAACCATTTCGGGTCGCCCGGTCTGTTTCAGCATGTCCAACATTTTGGCCTGGAACACAGGATCCACCGCCTCCACAGAGACACCAGTGCCGGTCTGTGGCATGGCAAATACATCGATCACCTGCACCGTATAATCGTCAACAAACTCGCCCAGCATCAATCCCATCACCTCCATGGGTACGCCGGCGCGTCCGTGTTTGAGCATCTTCAAAAGCGCCAGCGATGAGATGTACACCTGCTCGGCGGTATCCACGACGGGCGCATCTGTTGGTGGAGCGGCCTGTGGCATTGCGCCGCCTAGTCGTAGCAAACGGTCCATAATACGGCTGTAAACACCTAAAGTTTGAATGTGGCCGAAGGCTAGGGTCTTGCTAATGGCTTACCTTTAATATTTCTGCGTTAACAGTATGTGTGCTTTGTTAATTTACGTGACAATTTCAGTTTCGGCAACAAATAAATAGCTCAAGTTTTTCTGCTGACAAATGTGCCAAGTAATACTGGCGATGTGAAAAGCCTCGATAAGTTGTAGTCGATTGTCGGATGTCTGAATTAGAAAGCTGGCTGCTACGTAACGCTGAAGCAAGTACATTCGCCTGAAACGGATTTTTGAACTTGTGTGTTCTTATATTATTACGCAGATGCCGATCTACTATGCGTTCCGCTAGAGCGAGTTCTACTTATTTAAGCGACCACGAGCTTCTTGGCCGTTCCATACAATGTAAACGACATGAGAAACGCTGAAGTAATGTAATGGGGTCGTCCACAATTAAAGAAGCCACAATGCAATAACCGTCTTTGTCTTCATTTGGTGCGCTTATTAATTGCATTCCTTTTTTTTACCTTTCGCCCAACACCAAAAGTGGCGCATTCAAATGCCGCGAACTCCCAGCCCACAAAATAAAACAAAATTAAATGCCAAGCGGCCGAGAGGTACACCTTTTGATTGCAACACTTGCGTCGCCGTCGGTCTTTTCCACTCACTCGCTTGTTACTTTTGTTACATTAAAGTTTTCATCTTCAACTACTTGTACATTTTCCGTTGGCTTACTGTCGGCGTTTTCAGTTGCATTTTGTCGTTCAATCCACACGCGCGCGTTGTTATTTATCATATTTCTGGTTTAACCATTCAAGCTCATTAGTTAATAGGCTTCGCTTCGTTTAATGCTGAAGTTGTAAAAATTCATTTCGAGTTTTTTGCATGTATGTATAAATTTTGTAAAATTCAATTTTTTGCAGAATTGGTTGTGAATTTTTTCCGTCTAAATAAAAGCAATGTGCTGTCAATTTTTGTAGTCTTATCACCACAATAGCAACAACAACGTTTGCTACAATTTGTTATTTTTGTGTTGATAAAGCAAATAGAGCGGCAGCCGAGAGAGTGAGAACGGTAGGCGGACAACTTTTAATATTCTATTTGTTGACGGCATTTGGTGGGAGTAAGGCCAGAAAACTAATTTTTATTTTTTAAAAACGTGTGTAGCAACGCGATTAAATAAATAAATGTGAATATGCCGAGTGGTAATGTTCAAAGAAGTGAAACACATTTATGTAGACAGTGTTGGCAATAAAAAATCTGTAAAAATAATTGTTCATCACGTCATTGACCTTCCCGACCAAAAACACCAAACAGTTGTTATTTTTTAGTTAACAACCATAAAATCTTGCTAATGGCATGTTGTTGGAAAATGCGACAAAGCGTACACGTGAAAAATGAATTGAAATGCAATATATATATGTGTGTAAAACACGTTTGTTCGGCTGTGAAATTGACCTTTTGTGGACCAAACTATGCACGATTAGTTGATTGGTGGCCGTATTCCAAAAGAAACGAGCGGAAATGCCTTTTAAAATAAAATAGTCATGACAGTCGCTCCAATTTGGCTCGAAGAGAGGCGCAGAGATAATAGTGGAGCCCCTATCCAAGCCAGAACCAAACCAAATAGGTTTTCTCTTTGTTTGTTTTGGGACAACCCTTTTATATATAATTTAGTAAAGGTTCAATCACTTATTCTTTGAAAAGAGACCGTGCGATTGGTGACTCCTTTTAATTACACAGAGGTGTTATTGTTATGCCGGGTAAAAGGTTTTATTTAAACTAAGATTTAGTTTAGCTGCAGGAAGACACTGGCTTGTGGTTTCGCCCACTTTACTTAAATTAAATACAGTTAGTTTATTGCTGCTTATTGAATAGTGAAAATCTCGTTTATGGTTCAGTGTACAATATGAAGGAGGTCGGCTGTTATTTTAATAATTAATTTGCTCAGATGAGGCAATGGTTCCTAAATGTTTTTGGTAAAGGGCTGCTATAGTTACTTAGAGTGCCTCCGGTTAAGTGTAACATGTGAGAAGCGCGGAGGAGAGCTGTCTATTTAATTTAATAATTAAGTCCCCTATTGGCGCATAAAGTGTCTTCGCTTAAATGCTTAGCATGAGAAGAGCGAAGGAGGGTTGTATTTTTATTTCATTTCTAAAAGTAATTTTTATAAATAAGTTTATTAAAAGGAGTTCTTTTAAATGAGATTTAATCAGCTATTGGTATTTAAATATTAGTTTCTTAAGCAATTTTAAGCTGCCTTTTTCGAAACATTAATGATTTTATCTTTCAATTTCATCAATAAATTGCTCTCCTCTCCTCAGTCAGAAAGAGTTTTCCTACTTTTTCCAAATTGTAACAATGAACCAAGAGAGTGTCAAATGCAAGTGTACCATAGCTATACAAGTGTGTATACAATGTATAGTATATATATGCACAGCTGTGTATATCTTTTAAGTAGAATAAAATATCAGATATACCATTCCCAAGCACACCGCAACATGTCGGCGCCAAGGCGCTTGACAAAGATCTCGCAGCACATAAAGGGTGCCTTTTTCAATTAACTATACACTTGAAGTTATTAAAATATTTTATTTCAATGGCTCCACTAAAAAAATGCCAATATTCAGCATCTGAGGCTCATTTGCTAAAAAGAATTCAAATGAAAATTTACAAAACTAAATTCAGAAACTAAGAATTTATTTTCTACTTTTTTTCTTGACAATTAATTACATCTATTATTCTGGTTTTAAAAATTGAAATAGTAAAAGCCTTTCAATTATTCGTTATGGGATACTTGATTGAAAAGAGTCGGTCACTTAAGCGACATCATATCAGATAGTGAAATATATTGTTTAAAGCACCCTTTACGAGTATTTCGTAATTGCAAAGCTCATGCAGCAGCAGTTTTAATTTCACTTTTCATTAGCGCTGCACAACCACCGCAAAGAAATAAAAGGCAGCCAGCCAGCCAGCCAGCTAGTCAGGTAATAAAATCTGTTCAGATATAAGTATGTACGACAACATACATCCACACATACATATATACGATTGCAGATATCTGCAATATGCAACGCCAATGAACGGCGGCATGCAATGAATTTTGAAACATTGCGAGTGCTCATTGGAGCTAATAAACAAAAGCCGAGGCAATTTTACGAAGCAATTTGTTAGGCTGAAGAAAGTTTTAATTATTTTAAGAGGCCCCCGATGCTGTGTTTTTGCAATAATTAAGCATTTATGTTCAGCATTCAATTATGAAATTGCTTTATTTTCATTTCGAAAGTGCACAAACGATCGCAATTTGAATAATTTATAGTAAATGGCTCTAGTAGTATTGCGAAAATTTAAATCGTTGTACTAACAACGAATACTCGAAGTAGTACTTGCAATTATTAACTATTATTATTACTTAAAAAAACAGCATTATTTTCTTCACTACTTATTTCCAGTTATATTACACTTCTTCTAAGTTTTTAATATTATTGAATTTTTGTTAAAAACTTGCATACTAACAGCATTCTATAGATTTTCTGTAGGAGCTGGAATAGCAATAAATTCCTATATCTTAAGCCACTCTTCCACGAATTTTGAAGTACATATATGACATGGTTAGTACATTTTAAAACAAATAGTATTAACAACAATTCAACAGTATTAGTTTAAATAGGCACATTATTATAGAATACCGATTAGAGTTTAGACCGAACCAATCAAATTTGTAAGCTATCCAATTAAACGATTCAAAACCATAAAGATTCTATTCAGTCATGCGAAAATTGTTTGTATAAATATGTTTTGTGTGGTTTTGCTTTCGTTTTCGCTCTAATTTGCGTTTTACTTTCAGTCACGTTGGGCCATGACGTCAGTGAGCGGCGAGGATAACGCCATTGTTGCTGATACGTCATCAATTGCGAAGCAACGCGAACAGGAAACATCAATGACGACGCTTATGTCGGTCAATCAGACGCAGTCCACAACATCCACAACATCCACAACCTCCACAGCATCGACGCCCACGCCACCAACAGTGCTTCCCACACGCATACCACATCCTGCCGTCGCAGAGGTTCCATTCCAGCGTTCGGCGTCGATGCGCGTACGCGGCACAAAAGCCCAGCCATTCCCAATCAACAACAGTTACCTTGTCAGTGGCGTCCACAACAACTTTGGCCCTGCCGGCGGCTTCAGTTCTCGCAGCAAGCTCGCACTGAGCTCAACGTTCGCCTCGCGGCCCAGTGTTTTCAAATTGACGCGTAATCGCAGCTTCAGCAATTTAGGCCACAAAACGTCGGAAACGCAGTCATCGGAGTCGAGGGAGGAGGTGCATGCATTATGCAGCGCCACTCAACACCTAGGCCTGGCAGAGTTAAAGGACTTACAGACAGCAGTTGAACCGGATGTCGAGGAAAATATGGCCGCCAAGTCGCGTAATATGGTAAGCCCTGTCGTTATCGATTTTCAAAACATGCCGCTGACCTAACACAAACACAAAATACACCCCCAAGGAGTCACGTAATGCCGTATGTAGATGCCTTGTAAATGGTTTAGTTTTGCAGAACATACACAAATTATTACGAAACTGTGCACAAGGCGGGCCCTGTACTTACCACTAAGAGTTACCTTTGTTTGGCTTTAAAATTATCAATGGGTTGAAAACGTCATTAACTAAAAGTCCCCTATAATCAAATCCATAGTTTACTCAGCTTAGAACTAAAATAGTGGGTTATGTTTCTTGAATTATGATCTTAGAGTCGTGCTAATCAGGAAGCCTTAAAAAAATGAGTATAGCCCTTTACCCTTTGGGTACAGGCTATAACAATTATTGTTTTCAGTTTTTTGTAGCCGAAGAATATGTATTTTTTGGTGACAAAATATTGTTCTATTTTTAAGTAATTTATACTTTATTTTAAAACGGTTCAATTCATGTACTTTTTTAAAAAGGATCTGGTGCTAAAGAAGGCTTTGAGTGTGGAAATTTACAAAACAAAAAATCAACAAGTTTTTATTGCATTTGCATTCAGAAATTGAAAAAATACATAATTAATTATTTTTTAGAAGTACAATTTCACTTAAAGATTATAAGGAACATATTTATATATATTTCTTTCAAATAATAACAAAATTACCTCTTAAATTCTTGAAATATTCATAAAAAATATTGGTGAGAAGAAAGTCTTTGAATTTCCAGATATTTACATATTCAAATAAATTTGAATAACTCACAAGTAAAGAGTAGAAACATAAATTGTTTAAAAAGCTGTAATTTCTCAGCTGCGAAACCGCATTTGGTACCCGCAGTTGCCCCACCGTTTGAATAAGTTTGGATGGTTTGTTTAATTGTTCATGGAAAACAAAAGGCAGTTTCTATTTATTTTTTATGACTATGAAACACTGAGCGTTTGCATAATGCCAACAGTTTTTTTTTTTTTACCGTTTCCCACAACATACGTACAGATTTACAACAACAGCACCCCCACAGCAGCAGCTGCTTAGCTTCCGTCTTTCACTCGTTCCATTCCACAATGTACCACGATAAAGACAGCTGATGGATGGCGTCGTGGTGGCTCCTTTTAAGGGTGGGCGGCATTCTTGCATGGACGTAGCCAGTAACTCACTTAGGGGGTTCGTGCATTTCATAGGAATCAGTTAAGGTACTTTATTGTATGAAGATGAAGTACTTGCCGCCATTTTATTTGTTTTGCTTGCTTATACATATTTAAAAGATATTGAAAATAAACTAATATTCCTACGGCATCTACCGATGGTTGCTTGGATATCCTAATTTAAAAGTAATGAACATTTTTAAAAAATACTGAGATAATTAGCGCAACAAGGGAAGAGTTTCTATATCTATCTATATTGAATATAGAAAACATAAAACATAAATATTTGTATTGATAGTTTCAAATTTTTATTAAGCCATATACGAGTACATATCGGGAAATTTCAATAATCTTGAATGTAGCTTTTTACATTCTAAATATTTTTTCATAGCAGCACAAAATAAATAAATTAAGAAGTGAGAAGAGAGTAGTGACGTTTTAGTTTGAAGGGCAAGAATATTTGTATTTTGTTCGCATTTTATTGTGGTGCGGGATTCGGGCTTGTAAAATCCCTCTTCGCTACGCCCATGCGGCTTAGGGCAAGGAAATGCAAGTGCGCAGTGCAGCTTTTGCAAATATTGACATCCTCTCCCGTGTTCCGTTCCGTTGTGTCTTGCTGTGCATTTATTTATGTATTTATGATTTTGTGTGCATGTGTGTGTGTGTGTGTGTGTCGCTGCTGTTGTGGCCTCTTCTTTTCTTTTTGGTATCTTCTTTCTTGCTGGCCAAGCGATTGGCTCTTCAGTTGATTTTTCATGCTCGACGCGTCTGCTTCTGCTCCGGGTCGTCGTAATCAGCATTGTTATTGTTTCAAGAAATCGGTGCATTGTGTGTTTTATTTACTTTAAGTGTCGCGTTATTGTCTTCACATGGCAGAAAAGTGGGCCATAATTGGAGCCCCTTTGTGCTCAGCGGCTCTATCTTACTCATAAATGGTAATTACGGGGGGCTGTCTGGTCTAAGCCGTAATTGACGGCCTATTGGCAGTTCGTTGGCCTTTCCGTTTTATGCATAAATCATAGTTATTGATTTTAAATTGCTATTTGTTTATAATTGAACAAACGTGTCCAATTGGCGCAAATGTTGGAATAACTGGGGAAGGCAACATACAAAATGAAAATCAATTCAAGGAAACCATCACTGAAATAACATAACTGCACAGAAAGCGTCAAATTTTTATAAAAAATGTTAGAAAGCAGTTTTTCTAAAAGCCTTGGAGCATAGCTTTTACTGTTAAGTAATTTTTCTAAAAGTAAAACTTATTCTTAGAAATATTGAGGTATATTGCCAGCGACCCTGAAAAGTAGGCAATTTGTCAAATGGCTGCGACAAACGGTATCTGGCTATAATAGTCAACACTGACTACTAACTTGGCCAACAGCCAACTTGGCCATTTCGGCCATTTGGCGACGTGCATTTGCAGCGCCAAAATGCATTCTTTTTACACACCTGACTACTGAATAATTTTCGCATAATATTGTATTGATTTTTGTTCTTGGTCATCAAAGCAGCGCATTATGCACATTGTGGCTCAAATGATGAGCTTGGCTTGCTTTATAGACAGGTAGCTGCGAGGGCGGTTGAAGAAGTCTCTATTAAACATGAAAAAAACTTGTTTTCACATTCATTCTCTTTGTTTCTTGAGCATATTTTCTTTATACAAGTATTATTATAATTAATATTTTTTAAAGAGGAAACCCTTCACATGCCTGTTTTTTCTTAAGCCCACTTAACCCATAATTTGTACTAATTGTGTCCCCTTCCTTATGATGAAAAGGGCATCCAGCTTCCAATGTAAAACTTTGCCACGATTATTAACAACCGACTACAAAGTCTTCGTCTTTTTCGAGGCCGTATTTCCTGTAGAAAACCACTATTTGCTCTGCAACTTCCAAAATGTACGCGGAATAATTTTATAATTTTGTAAAAAGTATAGTTGAAGATCAGTTTTGTGGATTTAGTGAGCCACCCTCGCTGTTAGTTGCAATCTATTGTTAGACGTGCTCGACCAGCGTTGACTTAAAATTGTTATTAAGCACAATTGAGTTGGTAGGTCGGGGCTTGAGTTTGTTTCAAGTGCGTAACGTGCCAAGAGGTTGCTTGTTAGCTGCCACAACAATAACAACAGCAACAACAACAATCACACACACATGCTCGTACATATATTAGCCTAGTTGGCAGACACTTCAGGTAGTCTCGGTATTCTATTCTATTTGTCCGACTGGCCTCTGGCGACGCATTCGTGCGTAAAGCTCGTTGTATGGTAAAATTTCTAGAAACATTATTAACCATTTCCCAGTACTTGAACAATTAAGTAGAGTAAGAAACCCATTAACGATTATGAAATATGACGAACGTGCTGTACGCGAAGCCACTAGGGCTTTTGCCAGACTTTGTGGTAACCTGATTTCTGTCTACAGCGCTTTTCTCATTTTGCTTTGCTTTTTTTTAGCTTTTAGCTTTACATGAATTTTTGTCAGCAGCAGAATGAAGGAGAAAGGGGCGAGGGAGAAGGGAGAAGGGAGGGGTCAACGACTTACTGGCCTATGCTGTGGGGCAGTCATTCCAAATCAATTCACATTTGGAGCAGAAGTTGACAGTAAATAGCAGCTGGTTGAACGATGTGCATACGAGTATGGGTTGGGTTAGGCTAGAGGGGTTGTCGAACCTACTAGGGTCATTGTTTTGCTCTAATTGTGATACAAAATGGATATTCTATGATAGGAGCTGAAACAGGAAGAAAGCTAGCGTTTCTGCTAAATCCAAAATATTTAGTACATTAACAACCTTACTATAAAATGGAACATACAAGTACTTGTAGATCAAAATGTTGCAATTAAATCTTGACGTGGCGAACCACTCAGATCTTCTCCAAATTTATTGCCATCGGAGCTAGCTTCCATTCTAAGAAACCTGTTGCCTACTGTAATTCCTTCCTAAAAGAGGCGCGTTTCTTTGATTGGTTTTTCTATCCGCAGTCCTCGAAATATACTTCACTAAAAAGCTAACTAATTATTTATGAGTTCTTCATTAGCTTGAAAGCAATACGTATGGAAAAGAAATCACAAGCTTTAGACAGAATCTTCAGACAGGGATCAAGGTATTTTGTTAAACGAGCTTCTGGTTTGCAAGACCTTTTTCCCACTTTAAGATTACTTTTCATTCATAAAGTTTAGTAAATATTATTAGAAATGCTTGGGATTTCTGAAAGTAAAAGAAAGAAAACTTTTCCTATTGTGATAGAAAACCTAACCATCAATAGACCGAATAGTAAAATACAGGCTCTGTTAAGCTATGGGGTTCAGAAAACAAAAATAATAAACAGTCTGGAAATTAAATCTTGCCTGTTGCAATTGGTTGGAAGATACGGCCTATATCCTTTTTCTGGAGATTGGCAAGGACTCTGTAAATTTGACTTTCAGTATTAGTTGAAATTGAAACTCTTTTTTTTAAACTCTTCAATCTAATTTGCACATAAGCCTTCATAGTCATTAAGGCACTCAGTAGTGTGGCAGTCAGTCAGAAAGCATGGATGGAAATGGTGCAGGGCTAGCGGAAAACTACATAAATACCCCCTTCGCTACTAATGAGCGGTTAATTGACCACAAAAATGCTAACAGACAGACGGACGAGCGACTAACTACATATATAGTAAGTAACCAGCAATGAAAGTACCGATTGCCGCTGTTCAAAATGTTTTGTAAAATGTAAAGCAACAAATTGGTTTTGGGGCGTTGCGGTGAACTTCCCAGCCCCGCTGATACCCTCCTCCCTTACTGGAAGCTTCACATGACAGCGCCGTGCATTTCACGCCATGTTTTGCAAATTTTCAAGCCATGCACGACTGAGCAACGCAACATGCGAAGGCAAGAAATTAGAAAATAGCCACAGCCACAGCCACAGCTAAAGCCAAATTGAGAGATTTGCTCAAAAGCCAAGACTGCCAAGACAGCCAAGACAAGAGGTAGATAGACGGTCAGATGGGCAGCGGCTGCTACGGGGAAAGCATTCAGCATTCAGTTTCACGCGCACGCAGTGCGTCTTAAAAGATTGCTGGGACTAATCGGCTGAGTTTTCTAACCCGCAGTCATTGAATTTGAACGGCGACTGTAACAGCAAGGAGGTGGCAACGGGCAATGGTAACGCTGTCAAGACCCCGAAAACACCGAAGACACCGTTGAGATCGGGGACGCCGGGAAGTAGCATACCACATAGTTGCGTGCGACAGGCGCATTGCGGCAAGCATCAGGCGACCACGCCCACAACGAAACTCTCCACGGTGCCCGAAACGAGAATCTCGCCTAAGACGCCGCCAGTAACGCCCGATTCGCCAAGTACCTATCTGGATGATGATCTAGACTCGATGTATTCGTTTGCGACCACAACTTCGGGCCGTTCGACCATGTCGTGTGAGCATCCCTATGTGGCCAGGTGAGTAGTTGTCCATGGATGTCCTCAACAATCCAGATATTATTGGGCCAGAGCATATTGTGACTTGGTTTCCTTTTTGTTTGCAGGAATGGCACCACGTTCAGTGGCCGTAAAATGAAGTACGTGGTGCACTGCTCGAATTATGCCGGACAGGTGGGGGCGGACTATCTGACGCCTACGCAACGGGCGCAGCGACAGATCAGACGACTGAAGGAGCTGCTGTGCATAGCGCGCCAGGACTTGGAGCAAAAGGATACGGAGATTTTGCGTCTAACCCGCGAGGTTGTGGAGCTGCGTCTGTTCAAGGCGTCGCTCAGTTCGCCGGAGGAACGTTCCGCCTCCTCGGATGCGGTCACGGTGCGCGAAGCGGAGCTGAAAACATCGCAGGATGTTTCCCCCATCGTCGACATGGTGGACGAGGTCAATGCCAAGTGCAGTCCAAGACATTTGGTTCGTCAGCAGCACCAGCAACAGCAGCAGCAGCAACTGCAGATGTCAGCGGAGATGCAAAGCTCGTACGCCGATTCGGGACACTTTGAGGATCTGACGACCTCTTCGGTGCACTCGAAGGACTCGCAGACGCAGCACGATGCCGATGCTTGCGCCAGCGCCACGCCAGACGCGGCCGACGGCGGCGAGACTGGCGCCAACAGCCTGGAGAACTACGAACTGCAGCGCCAGGAGCTAATACGCATGTACGAGCAGCGCATCGAGGAACTGATTCGCACCCAGGACAGTGCTGCCAGCGACTTGAAGCGATCGCACAACGACAAGGTTGAGGCACTGCTGCAAAAACTGGCCGAATGCAACACTCGATACGCGGACATTGTGCCGGACTACGAACATGCCAAGGAACGCATACGGGAGCTGGAAAAACAGCTCGAGGACCTGCAGCGTCGACTCGTTGAGCACGAGGAGAAACAGAACAAGATGTACTTGCACATGTATCAGCAGGGACAGGAGGCGGAGCGGCTAACACGCGCCGACCAGGTACAGTTGCCAGCAGAGCTGTGCGCGTGATTGTGCATGTTCTTCACGCATGTTATGTCACGCGCGCAGCTCTGGCTTCCCCACATGCCATTCTGAGTGTTTCATTTCACAATGTTTCGCATAACAGGCGCTCGAACTGGCCCATCGCCAGCCGGACAGCAAAGTCTCCATTACCGAGCTGCTGCATCAGCTGCAGAGCACCCAGGATGAGTTGGAGAACATACGTGTAAGATTCTTCAATATATTTCTCATATTGTTTTCGATTTTGTTTTGTGTGCTGCATTTTGTTGCATCGTGAGGCGCCCAATACAACGACACAAAAACACTCACACATATACATATATACATGCATATATATATATATAGATATTGATAATTCATAGAGACACATTTGTTTTACGTGGGCTTTCGCAGTATACACTCTTTCTCGCTCTCTTTGTGCGCGACATTTCAATAGGGCGCCTTTGCCGGTCTGGAAAAGCTGCAATTAATTGAAATGCGCGCCACAGAGTTATCATTTTAAGTTTCTAAGTGTCTCTGCATAAATAATTTTACAACAACAACAACAATAATTACTTGAGCAAATTAAAATTCACGTTTAATTTGAAATGCATACAATCGTTTTGTGTTTGATTTGTTCGTTTCATTCCATTTCATTTCGTTGCGTTGCGTTTCATTCGTAGTTTTAAGTAGAAAAGTACAGTCACGTAGAGGAGTGCATGGTTACCAAGTACCGTTAATTTCAAGCATGCCAACTTTTTTGTTATTATTTCGCGTTAACTAATCGTGTTTTATCAGCATGTTAAATACTAATCAATAATGTTTTTCATATCGTAGTAATTTTCTAGAAGTGCCTCAACAATCACATGCTGCAGTAAAATTATGATTAATACTACTATTATTATATGATTATTTTTTGGCAATCCTTCAACGAATATTCTCTGTATTCTTTTGTGGTATAACAAACAATCAAACAACGTATTTTTGTAGGCAGCAGAGTGTAGAATGAGAGAGTGCGGCAGTAATCATGCCCTCCTTACTGCAAAGGAGGCGATTTCTTTGTGGGTACTTGGCGCGCGTAAGGTTTGTAATATCCGTAAAATTATACCCAAAAAAAACTAAAATAAAAATATTTTTATTACTGAATTTTTTCTCTAACAAAATTTGAAATATTTTCGGTTTTTCGGTTAATTTAATATTATTTTTGGTTCTTAAACATTGGCTGTTGAACCTTTGGTTTCTCATGCTCCCAAACCCAACCCAAACATCTCACCAACATTTGCGCTGTCATTTCATCATGGACTTGAAAGTGGTTGTGGTGGTCGTTTTTTCCAGAGTTTATTTATCAAGACTATTTTCAAATCAAAAGCTACATATACTTCATTTTTTTTGTGATCACATCTTGTTGTTTTGTCAACCGAGTGCTTCAAGGTATGTTTACATTTACATTTACCTGAACTCTTCAAGTAAAATTTGTATACTAGTAGTCCTACATACATATATAATCGAGTAACCAACAAATATACACCAAAACATGAAGGCTATAGACCTTAGTTAACCATCGGTCTGCTCGGGCACCCAAACACATGTAAAGCTAAATACATACCTTTAACATATATATGTATATAGTATACGTAGCATGTGTTCATATCGATATTTTTCCAACTACCTCCATATACATAAGATCCGTTCAAGTAAAACATTCCCCTTTATACTCAATGTTACATTATCGTACATATTATACATTACTAAATGTTCATATGGCATAGCACCAATGGTTCAAACATATTTATATAACTACTTATAATTCATTTATATTTTCTATAAGAGAACCCCCAACTAACCCCAACTAAATAATAATTTCTCTCTATATGCTGAGTTCTAATCTCAAACTATTTGCATTTGCACTTTCTTTTTCCACATCCACACTAATCCCACAATACTGCTAAAAAATACTTAACGCTCCATAGACCATCTATCGTCGTTTACTGGAGGCCCAGAAGAATCGCACCCATGTTGATCCGGAAGTGACGCTGCAGTTCCTTAAGAGCGCCGTCTACTATTTCCTAACGGACAAGGAGAACTCGCAGGGTCATCTGCAGGCCATTGAGAGCATTTTGGAGTTCACAGAGGCCGAGAAGCTGAAGATCAGTCAGGCGCGATCGCCAAAATAAGTGGTTTTAATTAAGCATAAGTTATATAAACTATATAAATACGATTACAGCGAGTTGCACGATTCGGTTTTAGTTTTGCTAAATTCATTGTTTTGTGTTCTCCTGCATTGACGAATTTCTTTACAATTTTATTTTAAAGTTCTTAAAATAAAGTTGGTGAATTAAGGCGCGATTTCGTTTTCGATTTCGATGACAAAAAAAAAAAAAAACGTGTAAAAAAACCGCATAAGTTATTTAGTTATACGCTTGTGTATGTTTTGGTCAACAAATTGCATACGTCCACTATAAATATTAACAAAAATGAGAAATGAAAAGGAAAAAACAACAGGAAAATTATATATTTTTATTTGCCAGTTGTGTATGTTTGTAAGAATATCGAAATGGACATAACTTTGGTCGTGATTCAAGTGTAATTTTAATAGCAAATAAATAAAAATGTACGTAGTGAAGAAGAGTCTTTGTTTTCAACGGTGAAGCGGAAATAAATCTTTGCTTTAAAATTGGGATGGGCCTGAAAAAATCGTGGTTTTCTTGTATATATTATGAAGGGCTTAATATGAATTCGTTAAATGTTTCCCTTGCTCACTGATAAAGAAAACTGATCACTAGTATGTGGTTTAAGACTATTTGTTTTCATTGAAAGAAGCGGCTACTTAAATATTTCTTAATGTGCTGCCACAATATTGGAATCTAAAACACCTTTCTTTAGTTTACGTTCAATGATTAACTTAACTGAAAAGCCGACAAACTCGATTATGTATTTGTTTTATGTTTTATGTTTAGTACAAATTTGAATAATGACTCTAGACTTCTGAGCTTGCTTGCTATTTGAGCTTTTAAACTTGTTTAAATTATGTTCATGCTAAGTATTTCTGCATGGCGAAAGACGTTAGAGACGATTTAAAATAACCAAGCGGGTTGGCAGCGCGATATTTTGTTTTCTTATCGTTGCCATGCTGGCTGTTATACAACTCGCTGCCATGTATTGTGCGTTGTATTCGATATTGTACGATGCACTGCATATATCGGATTCGTAATGTCATCGTCATCAAGTAGACATCATCAGTTTTCTTGTGGTTTTGTTTGCTGCGCGACGTGAGTGTTTGTCGTGTTTCTGTGCGCAAGTGTAGTGTGTGTAAAGTGTATAAAGAAAGTGTGCAGTGAGTAATTAAAACATGCAATAACAAATTTGATCATTTTGCCGCTCAAAGGAAATACATCAACATCCATGCAGTCCATACCCACAAATAATTAAAAAAATACGCCCATTCTAACATTTGTACGCATCCATTTGTCCTCCCTACGTACACATTGTTAGTAGGAAAGTGCAGCAGCAGGCGCGGTCGCGGCAATGCTCGTAATGAATAAATAGCACATAATATGTGTAAATAAACCGGGTCGCCCACATAGGCTAAAAAAGCAACAACAAATAAAAACCACACACACACACACATTAGCAAAAAAAGCAAAGTGAAGAGATATGAGAACGTGTTCAGTTTTTAGCTTTGATTTTGAGGCGGCGCTGGTCGCTTTTATTGTTGTTGTTATTGTCAATTAAAATATTTGCGCCAACAGCGATAATCCTGTGCCCTCTACAGAATATATTCTGTGTGCGCTTCACAGGAATTCCAACCACAGAGAGACGCTTGGGTAAGCTGCATATCCTATTTTAACTTCTTAGCCGCCTTTCAACTTGCCGAAAAATTGTAGGGGCCATACATACATACAATCACACAAACATTGATACAAACATACATACATATGCACATATAGTATGTGTGTAGAAATAGCGGCGCTTACTTGAACTTGATTCTTATTGGGGATTTGACGTGTTGCGGCAACTGCAGCGTCCGGCTTTCGTTTTGCGCTTTGCGGCTTCAGCGTCAATTAAACCGGTTCTTCTATAAATCTTTTGGAGACGTTCCGACGCTGCTGCTGCAGCATCTTCTTCTCTATATAATACTTACACTTATGTACATACATACATATATGTAATTACATACACAGTCAGGTGAAGAATAATAAGGACGGCCTTTTATAATAACTGAATATTCGCAGGAAACTCGAAGCTATAGTATGCACATACATACATATGTTAAATTGATTAGCTTTAGTATGCCCAAAAGCTTAATAGGAATAATAATGTTATGCGGGTGTTTGAGAGTAGATGTGTTGATATCCCTTTGCATAAACGTACAGATCGAATCACCAAACATCTTCTAAAGTCTAAAAAGGAACATGTATCTTTGTTTAAAAAAAATTAAGTTTCGAAAATTTTCTTTCTTTAAACAAGTTGTTCTTTTATTTAATTAGTATTAGGTATTTAGACATTATAAATATATTATTTAAAATTATTTAAAGAGCTTTCTTTAATATAGAAATGTTTTCCGAGTAAAAAATCATATTTATTTCTTAAAGCCTAATTAAAATTTTGCGAAATTGGACTAAGGTACACTTTAATGGGCTCCATTTGTTACCTGAGAATCATTGTTTGGTGTCTATTTAGTGTGGTTCAGTTTATTTTTTGTAGCACTCATTGAAATGGAAAGATATCGTTTTTTAGCCTCTGTGGAGATAGATAGATAAAAAAAATTAAGTTTCGAAAATTTTCTTTCTTTAAACAAGTTGTTCTTTTATTTGATTAGTATTAGGTATTTAGAAATTATAAATATATCATTTAAAATTATTTAAAGAGCTTTCTTTAATATAGAAATGTTTTCCGAGTAAAAAATCATATTTATTTCTTAAAGCCTAATTAAAATTTTGCGAAATTGGACTAAGGTACACTTTAATGAGCTCCATTTGTTACCTGAGAATCATTGTTTGGTGTCTATTTAGTGTGGTTCAGTTTATTTTTTGTAGCACTCATTGAAATGGAAAGATATCGTTTTTTAGCCTCTGTGGTAGATACCTATTCTTTCTCACAAATTTTAATGCATTCCAGTCCTTTTCGGGACGTATAGAATACATTAAAAGCATATAAATATCTGAATACCTAAAGCCAGCACTATTCACTTCACAGTATGATAATCATAACGTTCAGCTGATAATGTTGATTTACTGCCTTGACATTCCAGCAATGAAGGTAATGGACTTCAACTTGTTTAATGCAAGTGTCCCTATTATTTTTCGCATGATCGTACGTACTCGTACAAATATGCAGTGCTGTTGCTATTGTTGTTGTTGCAATTTTGTCTTTTATCTTTAGTTCCCATTTACTGACGACGGTAGTGGCCAATGCGCTTTTTATCACTCTGCTGACGTCGCACAGTGGAACGAAATGCATTGCCACTGTCACGCCTGGCGTGCCAACGCCACGTACTTAAACACAAGCGGCCGCGTACTTGACCGACCAAACGACCAAACGACCGAACGACCGACCCTGGCAGTTGCAGTCAGGGTCAGTGATTGCATTGCACTTCATTGCTGCTAATTTGCTGAAAACCCACAACATTATGGCGCCCAGCGCCCGCACTTCTGTCCACTGCCTATATGGCTATACGGCTGTCTCAATCGTATCAGTGCTGTCAGTTCTTGACTGTCAGAAAAGGAATGAAAACAAGCTAGAAAAAGCTAAAGAAATATAATGAATTGTACAAAAAAAATAATATTGTACAAAATAAAATTGCTTGAACAAATGGATTTCGTTTCTAGATAACATAACATTTTTTTCTATTTTACTTTATTTTTATTAAATTGTCTGGCTTCCATGTTTTCTCATCTTTTATTACGTTTTCTTTTAATTTCAAATAAAATTGCACCAACAAATGGGCTTCGTTTCTAGATAACATAGCATTTTTTCTATTTTTTATTTTACTTTATATTATTTTTATTAAATTGTCTGGCTTTCATGTTTTCTTCTCCTATTTAGCTCCAAATACAATTCACAGTAATAATCTTTCACTTTTCTGTTCAAATTCTATGCTTGTCTGATCCATATTCGATGTGTAACTTACAATAACTTACAAAAAACGCTACGAATTTCGCCAGCCATATTAGAACCTCCAGAAATGGCGGAAAAATAGCTAAATTGTCAGCACTGTACAGCAGTTGCTGTCGTTGTTGTAAAGCAAATGAAGCTGTAAAAGTTGGCCGGGCAATAAAAAGAAACAGTCTTCCTTGCCCAAATAACCCACCAGCAAGTCAGCCAGCTAGCCAGCCAGTCAGCCAACCACTTTTAATATGCAGAGATCGCAGTGCAGATGTACTCTCTAGTAATGGCCAAAGTTGTCGACTGCCAGAGAAAGCTATCAACGCGCAATTCCCCTAAGCAACACTAAGCCAAACAGCTCACTCTCACATACACACCCATACCCGACCCATACCCGATACACACGCGTATATATGGAAGTATGTATCTACAGCTAATGCTGATGATGATGCTGGGTAGATTTCCCCATAGTGGGCTTGTTTCGGTCTCGACACAGGATCGAGCTATTATCAAAGAATTCACTCAACACGAAACAGTGTTGAAAGCCAACAATTTGCTTCGCTGAGATTTTTCAATATACTAAGTGAATTAGTTGCGGCTAAATGCCAAATAGCTCTTGTTCAGAATGTATTTTATTATATAGTTGTCCACTCCACCACTCCAGTGGCAGTCGATACCATCTTTGAGCCTCAATTAGGCCCATTTGGAGCACTAGTGCATATAGAAGGAAACCCATGTTCAAATTTCCGCTTACTCATCAATCAGTCAGTCGAAACAGACTGTTTTTTATATTTATAAAGCTGCAAAAAAATCATAAAGTTCAGTCCAGTGGATTGCACGTATATGACGACAGACAGACATAAATTTTATACGATATGATTGAATCACTTGTTAGTTTTTTCGGTAAGAGAAGACCTGTGTCTTTTATATAGTTTTTATTGCAAAAAAATTATTGTGATTAAATAATATGTACGTACATTTGCTGCTTTTAAGTGCGCTGTATAAGAAGTGCGGAAAAGTATTGTGTTTTTAGTTTAATTGCTAAAATAAATTTCTTATATTAAATATGATTCGCATGTGTATCGCAAAGAAGGAAACTACAAAACATTTTCCTTCCGCTTCTATTAAGGATATAATTGCTTGTCTTTAAGAAAAGTAAAAACTGTAAAGAAAACGTTGGAAAACATTCGGGAGAAACTTGAGTTCAATACGAACAATAAAATTATTGGGAAATTGATAAGAATTTGGGGATAGAAATGCATTAATCTCAAGTCTGGTTAAACCTCAATATGACCCTAAGGTCATGCCTTATCATATAAGTGACCCCAATTCTCTTTTCATATTAGTAATTGAAATTATAATATTTATAATTAAATAATTGTAGAAGCGTTAAATTAAATTAAGTTACAATAATTGTTTTCAAATGAGGATCCATTCTTTGATTGGTTGCTTAAAACATGCAAATTTTAACTATATTCCTACACTATGTATTGGAAGGGTGAAAGAGCAGAGAGACGCGCCAGTTTCTGCTTTTACACGGTTTTGATTTAACGCGGTTTGAAAATGAAAAATGTTATATTGTATGCTTACACCCCATTATTCAATTTAGCACGATTTAAAATAACATTTGTATGCTCAAGGTATTTTTTGTACACGGTTTTTTTACACGACTTTTTCTGGAACCAATCTAGCGTGTAAAAAAAGAATTAGGTCTACTTAACCTGTTCGTATAGCTGTCATAGAAAGCATCACCTTAGTGTGTGTGAAGATATCGTAAACAAATAAGCTATTTATAGTTTTTGTTTTTAAATAATATTTTTCATAATCTGCAGTGCCTTTAAATTACTTTTAGTAGAAAGAATTTGTTGAGATGCTGTAAACATTTTTGAAGAGCATTTGAACGCTTCGGTGTTGCCAAGTTGCCACATTTGCCCAGTTGTTGTTGTTGTTGCTTTGTAAGTTTACTCTTTCTGCGGCCTGCTGTTGTTGCACTTGTTTGTGCCACTCACGGCCACCAGTGTCTGCCTCATCGAATTCATTTTAATGTATGATGTGTGTGTGTTTGATTGACTCTGGCAACTGCAGTATTGCTGGGCACTTGGCCCTATCGCATCTTTTGTGGCGCTGAACATAAAACGTTAATGACTTTTAAACGATTGCCAGCATACTCGTCGGTAGTGGAGGAGAGGTCTCCTGCCATAATACGCACAGAGTTGTTGCCTTGGCATCGCTATGGCCAGCTCCTCCTCCCCCCACCTACAGTTGACTTGGCTACAATTACAAGCATCATTGGCCTTATTTCTTGAGCTGGTTCGGTGTCTGGTTTGGCAGCATTGCTGTTGTTGGCGTAACTGTTTTCAACAGCGCCTTATTTGCTCAGCTTTCAACCCAAAGATTCAGTTTGAAAGTATGTATGTGTGTGTGTGTGTGTGTGTATAAGTGTATGTGTGTGTCGGTGTGTCAATCGCCCCCCAATTTCTTTTATTTAAACATTTTATACTTGAAAATGTTTACGCGGCATGTGCCATTGCCACTGCCGCTGTCGCAGTCGCTGCCACTTGAGGCTTGTAAGACCAACCAAACCAACCAGGGCTCTCTGACTCTTTCAGTGCCAAAAAAAAGAAGAATTAAAAAAAGTGTTTCTTAAATATTTTTATTTTTAGCGCATACTTAGGTTTCACAATCAGCCCACTCTTGCAACGCATTTCGTTTATTGTTA